TCTCGCATATGTAGATACCCACAAAGCCTGCCTCGGCTATTGGCACTGCTACTCGAGGCGGACATGTGCCTAGCAGGTCCCTAGTAAATTAGCAGCAGTTCCTGTCGTCGGCAGCCTTGTTTCCTGTGGTTGTTGCGATAGTCTCGATGACGGCGAGGTCGATGCGAGATCCCTAGGTCGGTTAGTCTGTCTCGTAGACAAACCGTTGTAGGGGTTCCCGCATATCTTGCCTAAGTCCGGGCTGTCGTTCCGGGGCCGTGGAGGGATGGACGCCGCTATCATACAGCAACACGTTTAAGTGCGCATAGTATTAAAATATCGAGCGGTGTAATAATATCAAACCCCACGCCGATCTTCTCGTGAAGACAACTGCGGCTCGCGTATTCGTCAGACGGCCGCGGCGGAGAGCTGCAGCGTCATGCTAGTTGTCTGCGCCTACGTAGTAGTATACCAATGCCTTAGCCGGACGGCTTAGCTCGCATTTTGCAAGGTAGGTCGGGACTGCCTATAGAGCTGAGCCAGTCCGGCGAGGCCGCCGTAGGAGGACAGGTCTCGATGCCCGCCGACTCTCTCTCTCGACTGCGGCGGCCGTTCGCTGGTGACGGAAATACGTCACACTGCTCGAGGTGCGGACCTGTAGCAGTATAAGCAGCAGTCAATACATCACGCAAGATGCAATATTAGGAGAAGCTGGTTGCATTCACTGCCGGAATCTCCAGGCAGGGGCAAGTACCGTTAGCCTATCGGACTATTTTCCCTCTTCAGCTTCGTACTGACGATTCCGCATCATACGCACGGCGTGGCCCGAGGGTGTATACCATAATTTCTAAATCGGAACTGGCGCGCTGGCCCCCCGCCGTATCCCTTGTGCAGTTAAACGCCAGCATCGCCTTCGGCCCCCCCCCCCCATATCGACAATAGATAGTCGTGATAGGGACTGATCGTTTGTGATAGACCGGGCAAGCAAATCCTCTTCGTATGATACAATGTACTGAATGAGTGCGTCCATGCTGCTTTTAGCGGCGTCATAGTAGCGGTTTAAGGCCTGCTGAAATAGGGACTAGGGATTAGAACCCATCTACGGGTCTAGCGGGGTTCTAGATATCTGGTCAGGTATATTCTGGGTGCTATAGCGCCAACGTAGTACTCGAGATCTTGCGGGAAGCCCGCCTGTATCGGCCACTCGGGAAGAAGAGATTTCTAGGTGCCTATATGAAGTTAGCTGCAGAAGTATTAGAGACAGTCCTCCCAACTAGCCGACAACGCAATATCGGGCTCAACGTTGCGAGCATAGCCAATATATGTCTGTCGCTCGACCGCCAAGCTCTCAGGTCAGTAATTGTGCTATTTCACTATGCTGCTAGCGTGTTCACGCGGGGGACGAAGTGGGTTGCGACGTCAAGCCTTCGACTGTGGAATAAGGAGGGGCGACTACATAGCATTTCGTATATAGATGCCTACGGACCATGCTCAGTATGGTTAGCAGGATGGAAGAAATAAGATGAAAAAGCTTCCTGAGTGACATCAACCATGTAAATATCGGACACCCATAGCTAATAGGGTAAAAAGGGTAGGACGAGTCTAATAGGAAAAATCTTTGGTATGAGACATGCCCCTTTGTTCTTTTGCCTCTCGGCCACGGCCAACTGCACACTCCGTCAGGATACTAGATGTATCGCTACTTTCCACGACCTAGTGTATCTACCGTACGCTACAGCTAATAGAGATTCCTTTCAGCTGAACCCTGGCGGCTCTATATGATAAGGCCGCGCTAGCCGGCTTATGTGTCCTAAGGAATTTGGGCCGGCCGCAGGGACTAATAATGCGACTTCTATGTCGATAGAGAAACTAAAGGCGCGTCCGGCGCTGCTTGAGCGCGCCCGCGGGGATTCCTACACGCAGGTTAACTGCCTGTAAGCCGTCCCGATGTCACTCGGGCGGGAGAAGCGAGTATACTACGTAGTAGAGCACGCTCCTGTAATACCACGCGATAATTGCACTATTTTAGGCCAGGGGAGGGTACCTACCGCTCGGCATTCTGGCTGAGTACCGCGGCCTAGCACCTCTCTCTCTCCCTCTCTCTCTCTCTGCCCTCTCGCTCTCTCCATGTCTCCGGTGCGTTTTTTATGTCTCGGTCCTGTTTCCTCGAGTTCTATTTTAATATAAAATACCCACAGGGGAAATGGGACAATAACCATAGGGCACATGGACACGGGCCCTCTTGGGCCAGGCCTCAGCCAGCAACATAAGATGTATCCATCGAATTCCGCGCATCCCAGGTTGACAGCCGGGCCAGATTCCCACCGGGTACGTGTACCTGGGCGCGCGTGCGCGAGACTTCCGCGATGGATTTCGGGGAGAGATGCTGCATAGAGACCTAGGGGAGGCAGCTACAAGGGTACGTGATTCCAGGCTGGATACATGTATCGGTACGTACCTTCCGATGGCATGCAAAACCCAGCAGAAGGTAGCATGGGGCTGTAAGACGACCTGCCTGCCTACCTGCATATAGATGTGTGTACCTGTATGTACATACATGCCGACATGCCTACATACATGCATACGTACATGCATACATGCATACGCGCATACTTAACTTACATAGGAGGTAGGTCAGGTAGGCGACGTATACATACAAATATACAAGTCTCCCCAAGTTAGACGTACGGGACAAAAAGGGCGACGGCGACGAACTCGAGCTGCTAGATCTACCAGCCCATAGTATGGGCCGGCTGCATCTGCCCCGGACTGCCACCCAAGCTTTTAGGGTAGAAGGGAGGCGTGAGGTGGGCACCTTTAGGTAGGTAGATACCTACAACGCCCACGGTACGCACGTACCCTGTACCTTGCATTGTCCATTCTCAGAGGTAGGAGGAGCTTGCACTTTCACCAGGGAATAACCTCTCACACATCCAGCTCGGAGGTATAGCTACTTACATGCCGGCATCGAACCCGCCTACTCGCTCCCGCAGTTGGCTTGACTACCAGGTACCTTGGGTATCCTACGGCATAAGGCACGATATATACTGGGCATATGGATCCGTGACGGGCATCCGTGGCCATGGGCATCCATGTACCATGTAGGTAGAGGAGGCAGACCGAAGGTAGGAGGTACCTAAGGTACCTACCTAGGTAGGTAGGTATACAGGTACACGCATGCGTATATCGTACAATTTTCTAGATTATGCGGCCCGAGCAGTTTGAGCGAGGGAGAATGGCTGGAGAGTACGGACCCGATACACGCACATCGAGACGTCTACATCCCGCGCGCACCGCGTACACATCTGGACGCAAGTATAGACAACGCTGGTGCTAAGTAGCGGGCTGTACCCTGCCCGGGCATTGCCTCAGTTGTCCGTTCCATTTAGAACCGTTGCTTACCTATGGGTGAATTGGGATGGGTATGGTCCTCCGTTCCCCTGGATGGACGTACACCTGCCTTACCTCCTACCAATATATACACCTTACGTAGGTACCTAGAGGAGGCCGGTAGATATCAAATCTAGGTAGGAGGTATGTATATATATACGCATACACACACGTATATATAGGCATATATATCTATATATATGTTATATATATGTGTGCGTGCGCAAATGTACCGAACTGCCCGACTTGATCAATGCAGGGAAATCCCACACGCCGTCTCTATCATCTATCTCTGTGCAACGGCGGAAATTCGACATCTCGCACCCCCGTCCTTCTGCCGTCCACCCAGCAGAGCCACACGGCACACACGTTCTCTCTCTCTCTCTCTCTCTCTCTCTCTCGCTCTCTCGCCCATACGCACAGGCAGGTATGTGCACACGGATGGATACACGCATACATATGTAGGTTAGGTAGGTAGGTAGGTAGGGAGGGAGGCATGTATACGCACGCTAGATGGACACACACACACACACACACATACGCACCCACATCGACTTATACATACCTAGGTATGTACGCACGCACGCATACGCCTACGTGCTATGCCTACACATACATATATACCTACGTCGACACCCAACCCGCCAACGCCCACACTTCACACCCTCGCGCACATCCACCATGCACACCCCCTCCCCTCCCTCCTAAAGCTGGTGGATACCGTCCTCGACTCCCGTATGGGCCTGCCTACCGCCTACCTTGCCTTTACCTTATTGATGCCCGTATTTTGTTGGTACCCTCGTACCTGTCCTTTTTCGTCTGAACTGCTCGCTCTCTAATATATACTGCCGCTCACATACGTACAATAATACATCCGTAGTAGGCTCCTCATGTCTTCGACATATCACCATCCCATAGCCCCCCCCCCCCCCCCCCGGAGTGAGCGCTACCAAGCTGCCCAGCTACCAACACCTCTTCCCACCACTCCCTACCTGTCACCTCTGCTTTGCTGCCTCACCTGCCCACACACCTATCGTGTTGTCGCCGCCGCCACCGTCGCCGTCACCACCCGTACTGCTCCCAATCCTGCCAGCCACGACGAGACCACGGGTAGAAGCCTCCCTCCCTCCCTCCTGCTTCGACAACCCCCCACCTCCCCTCCCCCTGAACCTACGTCCTCAGCACAGTATTCCCCAAAGAACCAGCCATCCCGGTCTGGTCCGGTCCTGGGCGGCAGTTAGCAAGAGGCTCAGGCCGAGTTCGACTTTTAAATGAGACAGACAGACGGGCGGCCAGCCAGAGGGAGGAGATTAAAGAGAGCCTCGGGACTCTCTTCAAGTGCCACCAATTCCACCTGGGACACCTTATTAGAGTCGTCGAGTACCCGCCACGCAATCTTTTAGTGAGCTGTACTATATTACGTCCAGGTCGCACTTCTATCGAATCGGCTCTTCTTCATATAATCGCTTTCCGTCTGCTCCCTACCGCCTACATAACTACGCTGCCGACCTGCCTGCTCTTCTGTGCTCGCCTTTTATTTTATCTTCTATTTTTATACCGCTTCTGCGCTTCATTGCTCTGACGCAACTTCTCCCGCCTCCGCTCCCCCCTAATATATCTTGCCTTCGCCGCCGCCCCTCCCCCCCCCGCGATCGTTCTAGACGTCGCCCTGTGCTGCACCGCAGTCTTGCACGATATTCCCATCGTTCAACCTCGGTAGCCGACGAAAAAGCCAACGAAAAGGCGCCCACGCACGCACGCGCTGCTCACCACACCCCCCCAGGCGACTTACACGGATTACGCACGCCGCCTGCTCTTCCTCTCTATCCTTCTCACCCTTCTCCTGCGCCGCCTTTTCGCAACTGCGTCACTCCGGAAGGGGGCACGTCTTGCCGGTTCGCATGCTCCCGCTTCGCCTGCCCAACCTGCTCGCTTGAGGGCTTCCCGTTTTTAGGCACATTTTGTAAAAACCCGCGGAATCGCTGTCTTGCGACAGCTTCCGTTTGAGTCACTTTTCCAGATGTTTCGACAGAGGTGAGTAGTGCTGGATGATGCCCGGACCCTAGTTCGTGGTTAGCCCTCGCGTGCGTTTCTACTAGGCGGACAGGGCATCGTGAGAGTGGCATGATCTCTCACACGCCTCCCCCGTTAAATGCCTTGTAACCTTGCTCGCCCGCGACAAACCCCGTCCTCGTTGCCTCCCGCTCGTTTGCTGACCATGTGTGCGCACTTGCGCAATCTAGGACCAGCTCTCAGAAGCCTGGCGACGAGCTGCTCGCCAACTTCCGACAACAGTTCCCCGAGATCACGTCGGTAACCTCTTCGGTGGCGGGAGCGCCGGCGCAGCTTCCATTGGCTTCTGATAACTCGGTTCTCGCTCCGCCGGGCCCAGAACAGTATGTCCGGCTCCTCTCAGACTCACCCCGGCGCTCACAAGTGAAATTCTCTTTGTCTTACCGCACGGCGTCCATTAGTTTGCTGGTGAGGCGGTGCAAGCGCATCTCGCATCTCGGAGCTTCAAAAAATATATATATATACATATACAGCGCGGGGTACTGCGCGGCGCCCACCCTCAGCTCGAACACCCACTGCAACACTGGACGCCCACGATCCTCCTAGTAGGGATCGGCACAACGATGTAAATTCGCTGAGCTAACAGCCGTAATTATTTCCAGACACCAGAATTCTAGTCAAGATGTCTTCCGAGATCAGGACCCCACGCCACGCGCTTCGGGCGCCGAGTGGCGGTTCACCCCCTCGATGCTAGATCCCAACTCCTTCTCCTTTGGTACCTACGCCAACCAAGCGCCGGGCTACTACACGCCCACGCCCGGCGGCACCAACACCGTCTACCACCCGCAAGCGGGCGAATTGCACGCGCCGGCGGTGGGCATACCTATGGGCCTCGGCACTCCGCTCTCCCTCCCTACGAGCGAGGGCGCTATACAAGCCGGGCCGGCCATGATGGACCTCGCCCAGTTCCATCAGGGGATGCAGGCGCCGCCACCGTTTCAGCAGCCCTTCAACCCGTTCATCCAGCCGACGCCGCCTCAGCCCGCCTTCGCGCCCTCAACCTTTGTGCATCACGACACCGGCTACGAGACTATGGATCACGACGGGTCGCCTTTCGACTCGGACAGCCACGAGGAGCACATCGGATCCATGGACGCGACCTTCCACTCCAAGTCTCCGCCTAATATCCTGGGTTTCCAGCCCAAACAATTCGGGACGTCCATGGCCCACCTATTACCGCTCTCGGCCGAGAAGTTCCGTTTCTATTCGACCTTGAACGCGCCGACGGCGATGATCAAGCACGCGGACGAGATCCCGGTAACTTACCTCAACAAGGGGCAGGCCTACTCGCTATCGGTAGTCGACACCGCAGCCGCCCTACCTATCGTGCCCGGCACAAAGTACCGGACATTCGTGCGTATATCTTTCGAAGACGACCAGCAGCGGCAGAAGCCGGGCGTCTGCTGGAGCTTATGGAAAGAGGGTCGAGGGACCAACGAAGCACATCAGCGCGGCGGTAAGTTGCAAGCGGTCGAGTTTGTCGAGGCTGGGCAGCCGGCCGAGGGCGACGACAAGCGAACCCGCATCGAGCTCGAGAGCGCTTCGTTCGACGGGTTCTCGGTGATTTGGACGCCCGGTGTCATCAACGGCGTTGCCGAGTGCAGCATTGCCGTCCGCTTCAACTTCCTCTCGACCGATTTTAGTCACTCTAAGGGTGTTAAGGGCATTCCGGTGAGGCTATGCGCGAAGACGACCCACCTGACGGCTCCCGATTCATCTCCCTCATCGGACCAGGCCTTCGAGATCTGCTACTGCAAGGTCAAGTTATTTAGGGACCACGGAGCGGAGCGAAAGCTCTCCAACGACGTGGCCCACGTTAAAAAGACGATCGATAAGCTGAAGCAGCAGATTGCTCAGGCAGAAAGCGGAACCAAGGACTTCGGCAAGCGCAAACGAGGGGGCGGTTCTCACGCCAAGGGACACGATCATCAGCGGCCGGGGAAGGCCCCGAAGCACAAGAGAACTTGGTCCATGTCGTCGGCGAGCTCGGGGGGCGGAGGGGGCGGCGGTTCGCGGCCCTCGCTCGAGGACGACCTCCATTTCAAGCTTCAGACGCTGCAGGACATGTTTACTAGCACGCGACCGGTGAGCATCTTGTACCTGCGCGGCGACGAACTCGACGATCCGGATCTGCATCCCGTGAGCCTCCCGGGGGAGCCTACTGACCTAACCAAAGCCGACGCCAAAGACAACGCCGCTTGGCAAGCCAGAAGTGGGCGGAGTTCGGTAGCTGCATCCTCGCTCGTCTCTCCTTCGCCGAGCTCCATGTCTTTACATTCGCAGTCGGCCAATGCCACCCAGTGGAATGACTTCCAGAACGGCGCAGAGCTGGCGGCCCTCCGACGAGTGGCCGACGCACCCACCAAGATCGCCAAAGTATCCGAAGACGGGAACCTAAGCGGGTGGATAGAAGCCCTCGGCGTCGACCCCTCCTACAAACCACCCGCCGAGAACCCGATAAAACCCGTCGCATGTTTTTACGTCGTTCGTCGACAACCGTCCAATCCCGAAAAGCCCGAGCTATACAGGGCGGTCTACTTGGGCCAGAGGACAATATCGGAGTTCGTGACGCGAGTTTCGGCGAAGTGGGCCATCGATCCCAGCGCGGTCGTGCGAGTCGTCCGCGTCCTCGAGACCGGGCTCAAGGTCGAGGTCGACGATGACGTGATACAAGTATTGGCCGAGGGCCAGGACATGACTCTCGAGATCGCTGAGGTCGACCATAGCGTGCCTCAGCTCAAACGCGAGTGGGACACGATGGCTGTCGACGCGCCTGAGGGCGACAGAAACTCGGCCCACAGCGCGTTCCGCACCACCACCGGCTTCGAACTACGAATCGCATTCTAACTTCGGCGGATATTGATACGAATACCTGTCTCTTCTTCCAATTCTTTTTTTTGTTCTTTTTTGCTTTCAAGATACTTGAGGCGGATGACAAACTCTGGGATCTGCCCCTTCCCGCCACGTTTGTTAACGACCACGAACACTTATTATACCCAAACGAAAAAACCGGCGGATTTTGTTTGATTTATCACATATGGCGTTCGAGTGGAGCGTTAAAAAGACATCTACCCCCTAGGCAAAGGGAAGGGGGGGGGGCGACGCTGCTTTCTATCCGCTTCCTCTCTTGTCTCAATGGATCACCACCTGGATCGTTTAGACTTATAATGCCACATACATTAGAAAAAGATATGGGCCTGTATTATCATCTATTCGAAATTCGAGCACTACCTACTACCACTAGGACACCATCTCGATCAACCCCCCTTTGTTTTCTATTTCCTTGGCCACGAATTATATACCCAGGAGGGATCATATGCGCCCGCCTCTGCAGAGCGCGAAGTGTTTTTTTTTTCTTCAAGGAGGGAATATACTCGGGACGGCAGTACGGCTAAGCTAGGGCAGTCTAGGAGGAGCATATCGCATAGGAAGTGAACCAGCAGTTCTCCCTGCGAGAATTTTCATCTTGAAGAAAACCCATCTTTTCGAAATTACACAGATTTTAGGCAGGGCACGGTTCTTGCGAAGCGAGCGGTTTTTGGCAGTATAATGCGAAAGCGGAAAGGTGTTGAACGGGGGCGCGGTGTGTGATGCCTTAGAGGACCAGCGCCATTGGAGTCGCATATCGACTCACGTGCTAACCACGGCCTGCCTGCCTGCTTGTCTAGCCACAGAAGTATACAGCTTAGGTATATAACTATAAGCTACCCGTCTCACGCGGGAACATGGAGAAGCACGTCATCATACTCCGTCTGGGTCATCCTACCGAGTTCGATATCCCTCTTTTGTTTTGCCGTGCCGTGAAGACGATCGCCGGGGTTTCGCCCTACGATGACTAGCCTCCCTAAGCCATATGCCATCCCCACATACGTAATTCCTGGTGTTTACTTACCCCAGTCTAGCTGGATAGCTACGGTATGCCCTTTTAATCTTCCGGCAATCATCTGCGTGGCTAATCTGGCTACCACGCACTATTGCGGCTACCCGGTGGCGATCCTGATCGACGAGCTTGTGCCTAATTTTATTGGCATCATGGGTTATGTTACGATGGTTTGGTGGTTACGGCAGGACACGCCGGCGAAGGATCGCCCCTCGTCGAGTTTCCCGGCGGCGGCACCCCTTCAAACGTTGTTTCATTAAAAACAGGGGGGTTTTTTTTTCTCTCTTTCTTTTCCCTAGAAAGAACATTGGGGTAACGCCGTCGAAAGGCTCTTCTTCGCCGCCCTCACTCGCTCTACTCGCGCGGGTCTCCGGGCCATGGTCGCATTGCATTCCAAAGGGCTGAAGGCGGCCCTCTCTCACGAAGCTCAGGTAGGAGTGCTGCTACGTACAGAGGTAGTAGATAGGTTAGGTTAGGTAGGTACTGCATATTACCTCTAGGCACGTCCCTCCATCCATCCATCCATCAATCCGACCATTCATTCTCGTCGGCAATACCTAGAATGCATCCATACCACTCAATAGGCAGCGCAGGATACGGGCCTGGCCTGCCCCCATTCTCCTTGCGTATTTTCTCCCGCTGTTGGGCAAATTGCGGGCACCGCCTTACCCCGGCGCGTACCTACGGTGTAGGTGTTTGGAAGCATGCAAGTGTACGTGATACCTAAATACCCATGGCGTCTCCCTACATGTGCGACAGCATGGCGGTCCTCGGCAAAAGAGGACGGCATAAACAACATCGATACCTTGCCAACTTGCCGCCGCCGGATGCACCCGCCGAGGGGACCGGGGGGGGGATGGGGGGGGTTGTGGTGTGGTGTTTAATAGGCAATACCGGAAGCTCCAAACTTTTCATGACAGCATCGAGCCAAAATTGCAGATACGTCGTCGCCTCTATTGGTAGACGGGCAGACCAAATAGGAGACAGAGCCGCAGAGGGGGAGGCGGAAGAGCAGAAGAGACAGAGAGAGAGAGAGAGAGAGAGAGCTGTGGAGGCGATGTACGTGGAGGTGGGTATTGTGCATATGGTAGGTGCCTACGTAGGTACGGCATGTAGGCGGGTTGTCCAGCTACAGTAGACGCAGACGTCGGTCGCCTTCTACACGGCAAGTTCCAGGCAGGGTCTAACAGAGTCACATCGGGTCTTTGGATATTCAACCTCAGACTTTCAATTGGGACCTCAACCGCATCCTCTTCACCTCCTCGCGTAATTTCCGTACCTAAACCACCACGCGTACCTGGTCTCAGTACGTCGAGGAGTTGCGTAGCAGACCGTTAAGGCGCCTACTCGCTCTACTTTCTCCTCGCCTTGGGTACCCTTGACCTGCCTCCTCTCTCGTCGCTGGCCTCGCCGGCAGAGTGCTGCTAGCGTTATTGCCAGTGACAGGCAGCTAACTACCTATGGTAGTTAGCTGCCTGTCACTTACGTTGGCTGGTCAGGCAGGGGACCCTCCGCTGTGGCTACAGTGGCTGGGGGGGAGGAGGGGGGGTGCGTTACGGGGCCCGTCGGGGCGTTTGATTAGGCTTTCGGCTTCTGGAGCGTGTACCTACCGTATGCAGTTTAGGCGGTTCCGTTCCTGTCCGGCACTCAGGCCCACTAGAGGCACCAACGGGACACCGGCACCAAGACACCGGGTTGCATAATCTGCAGGTGATGCGAATCCTCAAATCTCCAACTTGCTGATCTTCTCTCCCCTCTCCCTCTTCTTCCTCCTCCGCCTCCGCCTCCTCCTCTCCCCCCATTCGACAGTCCGGCTGCCCTTATCTGGCGCATACCTACATACGCAATAGAGCTAAACCGTCCCATTCTCCCTAGCTGCGAGGGTGGAGGGGGGAGAGAGAGGGGGGGGGGGGGCAGAGGGTTTCCCTCAAATCAAAAACACTTCCTCCCCATTTCGTCATCTCACAGAAACAAACCCAATCAGACCGGCGATGCTACCGTAGGTGCGCACATGGGGTTGCCGAGAGAGAGGGGCGCGGAAGAAAAAGAAACGAAACATCGACATCGGACAGGCTTGGTCGGGAAACATTCATTTCAATCTGAGGCACACCCCAGACCCCGCCCTGGTCCGGAAGCCGGCGACGTCTGGTGTGTACCCTGCGCGATTTGCTGTTTCAAAAGCCTACATCGCTGCATAAACCTGCCTGGACCCGCCCGCCCGTCGTCGGTAACTCATCTCCCGCCGTGTGGAGTGGACAACCTCAGCGAGCGGTGTTTGGGCAGGCGAAGGCAGAGAAGAGAAGGGCCGTCGGGCCATATTGGCCAAAGCAAGTGTCATTTCTCGTGGGATGTCGTGAAAGAGACAGGAGGGGGGTGGGCGGGGGAGAGCAAACCTCGGTTCGGACATTCTCCCATCTGACCTCTCCCTACCGCCTCATAACCCTCCCCCCACCCAGCCCGACACCACCTCGTAGGGCGAAGAAGGGCTTCTATGCTTACCAATAGGCCGTGGCGGGTCCCGCCGCTGCCAGCACTGGGTGCTGGTAACGGGCGCTGGCGAAGACGAAGATGGCCTGACGTTGGGATCCCCTCGAGGGCCGCGAATCATGGCCAACGCCCGGGCTCGACCGGGGGGGCAGTGCAGAAACCGCATATCTCCACTTGCCGTGGCGAGTGGTTTGCGCGTCCCGGGGGCTGGCATGACTCGACGTGCGGCTGTCTGGTGTGTCACCGCCATTACCTGCCGCCGTGCTCCAGGCCGGCGAAAGCTCCCTTCGCCCAGATGCCGTGGTACCTACGTGGCCCTGAGATTTTCAGAGGCTAGAACCCGTCATACCCAGCCGACGACGCTGTGATACGTTGTCCCGCGACGCGGGCGCTGTCACAAGGCTCTCGAGTCGGCGTTGGGTTGAGACGGATATATTCCGCTACCTCGATGCCGGGTTCGCCCAGCCCCGAAGCCATTAACCCCCCCAGGTTACGATGCAGTGTTTTTTTGGAGAAAAAAAAAAGAAAGCAGAAACCGAGCCTGTTCCACCTGTCCGATACCCAAGCTGGCGTTGCTGACAGCGTTTACTAGAGAATTCGGTCGTCTCGCGCGCCTAAAGCCTTCCGGCTTACGATGCTCGGAATCTCGTCCAAGCCGTCGTCGTGAGAGCCACATGTGATTTTTACCAGGGCGTGTATCAGCATCAGCTCTAGCCACCCACTTGTGTGTTCCCGGCTCCCAATTCGATGTGCGCCCCCGTGAATACACTCGAACGATAGATAATGAAGTCCACCACTCACGGGACGGGATCGTTCTAGCGGTGCTAGGCACGTATATTCCGGGTGCGACGTCCAACCCACACCACCCGTTAATTCTATACCAGGGCTCTGTTTCGGTGCCTGGCTTCTCCATACCGACTCAATTGCCCCAACGCCGCCCCCGAGTCACATAGGTAGCGACCGGATAAGGGCAGGATAGCGAAGAGAAGAAGAACAATCCGCCCGAAGAGCGGTGCCGAAATAAGATTACAGGCACGCACACCGCCGGCCGAAATCACCAATTGCGAAAAGCTACTACGCTATAGTAATTTTAATCATTTATCAGATGCATTGCCCATGCGTACCTATCCTGCGACCCAACTTTCCGCGTGCCCGGCATGAGGTCCACGGTAACTCGCACCCTGCCCTCTACGTCGAACGGCACGTCTATCCAGACATGCCTCCATCCACCCATGCATAACCTGCATACATACATACATACATACATACATACATACAGACAGACAGACAGACATACAGACAGAGACAGACAGACATACGTACGTACATACATACATACATACATACACACATACATAACAGGCCTACCTACGTAGGTGCGTGCGCACGTCTGCGTAGCAGCGCGCATTGGGTCGGGTCCTTGGGAGGGTGTAGGAGGGAGATGGGGGCTCCGTAGCGCGTGGTAAGAGGCCCATTACAGCGTACCATTGGGGCTCATCCAGGGCCTGCGTCATGCACCCGCGATGCGCTACCGGGTCGCTGAAGGTGGTCGATCTAGCGGTCTACGCAAGTACCGGTACCTGTGCGTACTTGGAGCCAGCTACATCTGCCTTGACCGCGGGCAGCCCCCCTTACGGGCCTACTTATTAGGGTGCTTACCTCTGGGGGCGCTTACCACCATACTTACCATCTCCCCGCCCCCCCCCGTCCGAGGTATCATCTCCAGAGCCTGCCTCTCCGGTAACAGTTCCAGACTCTCCCGCCGACGCCGACCTGGTACGCCGACCTGGTAGGCAGCAAACCGGCCAGCGGGAGGCGTCGATGTCACCTGGAGATCCAGCCTCCAATCGCACAGCACCTCTCGCGGAGACCGCAGCAGTGCGCCGGTAACCTCACCCAGCGGTGAATCCCGGCCGTCTTCGCGCGAGAATCGGAATCGGCGGTACCAAATTAGCGGTCGCGGTCGCGTCCTCGTCCCCCCCCCCCCCCCCCCCCTTCATCCCACGCGTCAACGACGGCCTGCCGAGCGGCACCAAGAGATGCCAACACCAGAAATCTCCTCCCAGGAACGACTCGCCCCGATCTGGCGAGGACGGTGGTAAGGAGGCCTCCGCTCTCCTGCCACGTGGAGTCGCACCTACGACATCCGGCATGCCTCAACAGCCCCTAGAGATCTGGGTCCAATGGGAAGGCGGCAGCATGTTCGTTTTCAGCTGACCAGGGCGACGATCGATCGCTGAAGGGCTACGGACTATGTGACACGCTGGGGGGAGGGGGGACGCCGATGGCTGATCCCATTCGGCATAATTTCATATGCATGTCTGTGTGGACTTAGGTGCGCGTGTGCGCGTGTGCGTGTGCGTGTGTGTGTGTGCACGCATGTATGTACGACAGGCAGGTGGGCAACGATCGCCACCGCATCGCCCGCCTCCGGTCCCTATGTACAGGAGTCACAGCCGCTGTCAGGCTCCCTGCCTGGCCAACCCAACCCTCCCCTCCCCTCCCTACCACCCTCCCTATGCTGCCCTCCCTACGATCTCTGTCCGCCTGCCTCTCTACCACTGGGCCGCCTTCCCGGAGTTTCCCGGGGGCCAATGGGACGCGGGGAGACCGGAGCAGGACACCCACCCACGAGACGACAGCGTCGAGTTGGTCCAGGGCAGGGAAGGGCGGCGCGGCGGAAAGCTCGCTGTCGCCACAACTTGGAGCGCGGAATGTCGCTGGAGGGGAGGCGGGGGGAAAGGGGAGTTCAGCCACAGACCTGTGCCAGCACCCACCCCCCTATCCCCGGGACCACTCGCCCAGTAGGGCTCCCCATCTTCTTTCGGGCGAATGCCGGCGGGGCGGCCGAGAGTGCGAGTGCATCGAGACCACCCGCCCGAAGGTCAAAAATAGCCATCAGCCACATCGTCATCGCATCGTCATGACGATTTGACGCTGGGGGGCCCAGCGAGTCGAGTCGGGCTCGGCTAGGCGACGAGGGGCGCCTCTACCTACCGCGCGTCGGAGAAAAGTGTAAAGGGGGAAAAGAGCTAGGTAAGGGCGGGTCGGTCCGTTTAGCGAATGATTTCCCGCGAGCCAACTCGGCAACTTTTTTTTTGTTTATCTTTTTCGAGAGCGGAAAATCGCGGAGGGTTCCTCTCTAGGTATCTCCCTCGTTTGGTGGTTTGGCTGCGGCGCCTCTTTTTTTCTTTGAAAGGCTCTCCACGAGCCACAAGAGCCGACGACTCTCCTGGAGAAGAACAGAGACATTTGGGCCGGAGTCGTCCGCGCGCCGGCAGCCAATGGCATGGCGCCATCGAGCACCAAACCTTCCCTATCCGGCAGTCACTCGCACCTCGCCGCCGGGCCCTCCAAGTACATGTCTGCGCGCGTAACATTGCGATGATAGATGGGGGGGGAGGGAAGGGGGTGGAGGAGGGGAGCAGGTGATTCTCCTCTCTATCTCTCTACCCCCTACGATTCCCATCGTTTTTTTTTTTCTTTTCTTTTCCTTTATGCCCTCAGAGGCGGTTCCTGCGTAAGGCATCACCCAGGACGGGGACGTTTTTGCCCGAGGTGCATCGCTTAAATTCTTTTTTTTTTCTCTCGTTCGTTCTTTGGTTCTTCTGCCAACTCCACGTGGCTGACCCGTCTCCGATCTCCCTATTCCTCGCTACGAAATCGATAGCGGCCAGCCGACAAGGCGTCTAGAACGTGTGCCTGTGCCCAACGGCCCGCCACGAGACCTCCACCACGGCGATAATGAGGCTAAAGACGACGATTGTGGCGACAGTGCTGCTGGCGGCAGTGCACTAGTGCGAAAAAGAAAATCTACCCCAAAAATAAATAAAGCAATGAGGCAATTCGCCCGCACCGATGTATACGACGAAGACGTCGAAGCCTCGTCGTACGTACGTACGTACAGAAATATCCGCGGAAATAGAAACTCGCCCTATTGGGTGCGGGGGCTGCTTGCTTCGCGAGGGCCACGGGGCAGGCAGGGAATTTTTTACTACATCGACCATCACGAGGAGTAAGTGGCTAGTGTCGCAACGTCGCAGCGTTCCGTGAGGCGGTGAGGCGGTGAGCGCGAGGGTTGCCAGAAATGCTACGTCGATACGAAATACGGACTAAATACATGTCTACGAGCACTGGCGCAGCCACGACAACCGCAGCGATCGGCACTCCGGATACCGCTTCGGGACGACTCAGGGGGGCCAGTGGGCGGGGCGGCGCCCGGAGGAGGAGGAGAGGGAATCCCCCTCAGACCTGCGTGACGTATAATAGTGCTAACTATCGCCGGCCAGGACCAGGGCCGAAGGGTATTGCCGGCGCCCCCTTTTACCCGAGTCGGGGTCCGTCTAGCAGGCCCCTAGCGAGGACGAGGGAGGAGACGGGAATACTGCGAGGGCGACGAGAGCAAGCTAACGACGACAGGCAAACAGGCCCACGCAGAGCATTGGGGCAGGAGTTAGCAGCGTGTGTACGCTGCCTGCCGGAGTAGGCAAAGGCGACAAGACCTGTACGCCGCGCCGGCATCGCGGACCCCGAGTGTGGCGCCTCATGATGGCAGGAGGTCTCACTGTGCGATGCGGGCCAGCGTGCCCTGCTAGCGAGCTGTCACAGCGATCTAGATCATCTAGGGTCGCCTCAGCTGGGCCCCGTCTCTGCCCTCCCTTCCCCCCCGTCGAGGAGGAATGTGGCGCACGCCCGGTCATCCGCGTCGCGCGTACCGGGGACGCGGGCTCAGCGAGCGAGCGAGCTTACGGGTTGATCGACCTGGCTCCTCAGTGTAGGCATGGTGTACTCTATCCATCGGCAGGCGGCCAAACCACCCATGTCTGAACCTCACCACACCCCCCCCCCCCTTTCCTCTCACCCAAAAGCCACACGCAGCAGATAGGCTGGATGCGCCCGCTGCGTGTAGTCCTTGCCGTCCACGTCCCCGTGCCGTCCTGCCCTCGCCCCGTGCTCGTCGTGCTCTCGTCCTCTTCATCTTCGAGGTAGACACGTTGGGATGCAGGCTGATAGCGACCCCATATGTACATACGTCAAATATATGCATGCCACGGTACTTAATATCTGCCAGAGGAAAGGACCGATTACTATTATACATATCGTAGCTATATTATCCGCATGGATATATCCATCTGCGGGGATACCCCTTCTTCCCCCTTTCCTCCCGTTTTTTGGTTTGGTTTCTTTTAATCTATAAAAAGAAAGAAAGGGAGAGGATAAGCGACGTCATACCCAACCGGAATCGACGTCGGGTCTCTTTCTCTGGTCTTTTTTTCCCCCATAGAGGGCGGACGGGGATGGCTGGTTGGTTGGCTGGATCTCGGATTCCTACCTACGGAAGCACTTAGATATGTACGCGAACCCCTACTCTCTGGTAGACGGCTGGCCACCCTTCGCCTCCGCCCCCCCTCCCTCCCTATATCACGGCGACGATATAGGCAGGTCCGCGGACAAAACAGAGACGGATTACTACCTACCTACCTACCTACCTGCCTGCGTACATACATCCACATACATATACATACATTACACCTACATATCTAAACACGCCTACATACAACACAAGTAGGCAGGCTGAAGGCGCGGAGATTAGGAAGGAACCGCGACGCACATTATCACGCATTTCTGCGCCCCCCGTCTCTCTCCCTCTCCCTCTTCCCTCCCCCCCCCCCGGTCTCCCCTCCGCTCCTCTACCTCCCCCTGTCCCCTCCCCCCCCCTCTCCTGGCTCATGGCGCACACACCCACATCCACACCCACACCCGCCCCCCCTCCCTCTGCATGCCGTAGTAGCGGCCTATAGTCGTACGTGATATATCTGACGATAATGACGATGATGACGACAGGAAGCAGCGGCAGCGGCAGCGGCAGGACGACCGGGGAGGGAGGGAGGCAGGACTTCCGGGGCGACGGGACACCCGCCACGCCTTGTCGCTGCTGCGCGGGAAAAGCAGCGCGAGAATTCGGACGGGAAGGAAAACGAAACCAAAAAAAAGACAAAGCCACCATTACCACCCCCCCTTCTCTCTCTCTCTCTCCTCTCTCTCTCCCCTGAGATACGTGCGCCGCCGCCGTCCGCGATTGGTGCGGGAGGAGGGGGATGGGGGCTCTTTTGCCTTCTCTTCATCTGACTGCCGGCGACGACCTAGCGAGGCCTCAACATTTAGCGAGTTGGGCGCGAGGAGAGAGAGAGCGGGGAGGAAGAGGGGGGGGGTGTATGGCGAGCGAGCGAGTTCGAAGGGATGGGACGGGATGGGACGGGATGGGACGACGTGGGGATAGGTGCGGTGTGCAGGCGGCCCAGGCACGCACGCAACGGGCGCAGCCAGGCACGCAACACCAGGTAGGTGGGTTTTTTTTTTTTTTTCCAGAGGCGCCGCTGGGAGGCGAAAAAAAAAAAAAAAGGGCGAAGACAGGCAGGCCAAGGCAAGGCAGGTTCGGCGCGGATGCTATCGCGCGGCCGACGCTGATTGGGCGCGCACGCGACGCGCTGGTTTTCGGTCAAGGGCGAGAAACAGAGAGAGAGAGAGAGAGAGAGAGAGAGAGAGAGCGCCCGGGCAATAATGCGTCGTCGGTTGCGCACGCTGGCTGCCGTGCGCGGGCGGTCTTCCCCCCTTCGCCTGGCGCGCGAGGTGTCTGGCGGCGAGGGGAGAGATGGGAGGGGGGAGGGGGGTTGGGAGAGGCCTGCTGTCGTGCTGGTGGTGGTTTAGTAGGCACGTAGGTAGGCAGATGTGGCGACGAGGGACGGCCTGGACGCAGCGCCGCTCGCTACGCAGAGGTCTGTCTGGCTGTCTGGCTGCTTCTTGCTTAGGTCGTCTTCGCGTACCGAGAGCGCATACCTACACTCCTACCGTGGGCAGACGGCCATCCGACTTCACACACGCTGGCTGGTAGATACACGCTTGTTATCCTCCGAGGTCGATAGATAGGTATCTATTCTTCGCTTACTTCTGCCTTGCTGTTAGGAGACGTCTTGGGCCCTGTGCGCAGCTGCTACGGCATGCATCATCTAGATAGAGCCAAGTACGGGTGTTCCCGTAGATTCCACTGTTTCCAAGGATATGTAGCCCGTATTGCTCCGTAGAAGGTCTCCCGTTCGCGTTCGAGACGGCCATTGCCTACATGTTTGAACAGCATCGATGTCGTAGATAGGTACACAATAGAGGAATGCCGTGTGCTATCTGCCATAACGGCCTCGTACACAAGGTCGCAGCACTAAACAAAGATCCCTTAGGGGTGAAGGGTACTCCAAACACACCCAACGCCCAATGCTCGATGCCTCTCCCGCCCAGCCGTGAGTATTATTAGAAGAACCAAACCCCCTTAAGCCGAATGAGCCGAATGCGCGCCGAGAATACCACCCCGACGCTGTCCCTTATAGCCCCACCAGAGACTGCACCGCGGCTGTTATCGGCGGTATGGAGGTGAACAGCACGGTGATCGTGCCGAAGAGGCTCATGGACAGGATCGAGAGCGCCGCGGCCCGCGGGTCGGTGCGCAGAAGCAGCGCCGCCGCGATGGCCGACGAGTTAGCGCCGAGCGTCACGCCGCGAGTCACGTAGTCGTCTGTATGCGCAGGTAAGCAGCGGGTTAATGAGCTGGATGGATGATAGTATGAGTAAGGGGAGCGCGGGGCAGGCGTGAGAACGAAAATGGGCCGGTTAGGTGGATAGACTGGCAGGCAAGAAGAGTAGACGGCTAGAGAGAGATACAAGCAAGCGGGCGAACAAACCTTCGGGTATCTTCAGCCAGGCGAGCATGCGGCGGCCGACGAGGACGCCGACGATGCCGCTCATGATGGCGAGCGCGGCGGCCGTGTTGACGTCGCCGCCGAGGTTCGTGGCGGCGGGGACGGCGAGGGCGAGGGTGAGGCTGCGCGCGGCGAAGGCGAGGCCGCGGCGTGCGGCGATGCCGACGGCGCGGCAGACCCAGGGGTACGCGAACAGGGAGCCGACGGAGATGGCGACGTTGGGGACGAGGATGGGGAGGAGGTGGCGGCGCAGCTCGCGGCGGTAGCGGTAGACGGGCAGGGCGAAGGAGACGATGCTGGCGTCGAGCACGCTGGCGAACAGGTCGGCGGCGCCGGGCAGCGCGGCGTCGCGGCCGCGGCGGCCGCCCCACAGCTCCTGGTAGCCGGCGCCGGTCTTGTAGGCGGCGAGCGTGGCGGCGAGGGGCTGGCCGCGCGCGAGGCCCAGCGCCCACAGCGCGAGCACCGTCGCCAGCGACGCCACCAGCACCGGGTGCAGGACGCGCTGCCAGGCCGCCGGCAGCGCCGCCGCGCCCGCGTACGCCAGCACGTTGACGCTCGCGTGCAGCGGCATCGCGTACCCGGCGCCGTAGTACGCCGGCAGGCCCGCGAGCACGAGCGCGGCCGCGTACGGCGCCGCGTCGAGGTGCGCCGCCATCCGCGCCGCCCACCGGGTCGCGCGCGCCGGCGGCACCGGGGCCTGCGGCGGCAGCTCCGCGGCGGCACGCGCCGGGTCGTCGTCGCCGCGGCCGGCGTCGGAGGCGGCGCCGCGTCCGCGCGAAGCAGGAGGGGGCCGCACCACGCGCGCGTCGTCCGACGAGGGCGCGTCGTCGTCGTCGACGGCCGTCGCGGAGCCCGACGCCGACCCGTCCGCGGGGGGCGGCGGCGCCGCGGCCGCTAGCGGGATGGCGTCCGCGCTCCCCGGGTGCAGCTCCTCGGCGCGCTCGGCCACGGCCCGCTTCGACGACCCGAGCACGAGCTGCAGGCCGCGCGTCAGGTACGCCGCGAACGCGATCATCACGACGAACCCGATGACTAGAGATACGGGGAGGAGGGGGGGGCCCACCGCGTTAGCAGACGGTGCAGGTCGCCGTCCCAGGGCGCACGTACCGAAGACAGCGATGATCTTGAGCACCTCGATCCCCCCGATCGCCGGGCTCAGGGGCAGTAATACGAAGGAGGGCGTGAACAGGACGTTGATCCAGCGCAGCGCCCAGCCGCCCTATCCGAGACGAAGGGCAAAAGGGCATAGGTTAGTCTGAGGCACAGGGCAAAACAGTAGTGGTACGACGTAGGGGGGAAAAGGGGGGGGTTGGGGGGTTGGGGGGGGGGGGTGTCTCTTACGGGGACCTCGATGACGGCGACGACGCGGCGCGTCCTGTTCTCGCCGAGCAGCCTCTCGGCGAGGAGCAGCGCGGCGACGAGGATGACGAGGCACGCCACCGACGCCGGGAACGGCACCGACCGCAGCGCGAACAGCTTCTCCACCCCGAAGCACGCCAGCAGCATCACCAGGATGCCCGCGGGCACGTACAGCCACGCCTGGACGAGCTGGTGCCGCGAGTGCCGGAACGTCTGCGCTCGCGCTCGCGAGTTAGTTTGTTAGGCTGGTCATGGACGGATGGGGAACGAGAGGCCCTTTAATACCAGTTGCGCCGCAGTCCACAAGTCGTTCCAGACTGCCTGCCCACGCGAGACGGCCATGGTCCGAAGAGGAGTTTGAGATGTCGATTATATGGAAATATTATATCGCTGTCCCGAGATGAAGCCTCTGCAGAGAAGCCAGGCGTCACATAAGTAGGTATTAGTAGCACTTGTTCTTGTACGTAATTGTCTTTAGGTGCAGTGGAGTGTGCGACATTAGGCGGGCGCGTTCATTGCATCGTGACAGTCGACGACGTAGTATCAGTAAGGAGCATGCGCCTGGGCAATTGGCTGTTTGCGGAAGAGGCACTATCACAAACAATCACCAGCTTTGTGTCATTGTATTTATTTATTTATTTCCCTGATGACGGGGCCGATCTCGGCCTCAGTCAGTACTCACAGTCCCCCCCTTGGGCTTACGGCCCGGGGACCAATATTAACTATTAGCAATTAGGTAGGCACATCAGCAGCCAGCTGATCCAGTCCACGGGCAACACACCCCGAGTAGAAAAACGAGAAAAAAATTACGTGTTGCCGTGTAGGACCGCCACTGGCTGCCTCGTGTCCTGGTGTTGAGGGGAGAGAGTGAAGAAAAAAAAAAAGACGGAGCAGATATACCCGTCCTGATAGGAGGAGGGCCCCAGTCCGCGGTTCTGCTGAACGCAGACCGGATCCCTCGGCGTCGCGCCAGCTTTTCCCTCCATCCCACTCCAGCCTGCCGTTCACGGGACCAACCCGCGTCTCCAGCTCAGAGGGGCAGTTCCGGCTCTCGAAAGCCAGAGAAGCCCTCCCTGTCCGCCCCGAAGCTACTGAAGCTCGTGCGGTGCCGATCCGCCGGCTCGTCCCGAGGTGTTGGCCGGACGCTCGGTCTCGCAGTACACCAGGACCTTGCATCGGAATGCCTCTCGTCTTCGGCGGTCGCCGATTATGCCTTCTTCTTCGTCTTGGCATACCACCTCAGTCCCCTTAGCGGCGTCCCAGATGTATTCGTCGGCGGCGAGGCACCCGGTGTCGCACTCTCGCACCTCGTAGTAGGTGTACTCGCTGTCCTGGAAAACATCGAGGTTGTGGAGCCGCGCGGCGCCTGCGCCAACGGACTGGTCAGCACAGGTCTTGATAGTCAAAATGCTAGAATCGATCCTCTCCCTCCCCGCCAGCGTAGGGAAGGTTTTTTTTTTCTTAAAAAAAAAAATCACGGGAAGAGGGAGGAGCGTTAGTAAGGGGGTATCGGGGAAGACCTACGTCGGAATTTCTCCAGGGCAACAGAGACCTTGTCTTTCTCATCCTCCTGCTCCGACGCGTTCTCCACCGCTTGACCGTCGTGGGCTCTCTTGGTGCCTCTTTTTTTTAACGACAAGACACTGCGAAGGTGTAGCTTGACGGCAATATAGAACACCTCGAGTTCAGGGAAGAAGGCGATGAATTCGGCGACCTTGATTGGGCAGAGTGCCTTGTGGCTTTCCTCCTCCGGATCGTCAACATCGCAAACACAGCTGAATGTGTCAAAGTAATCGTTCGCGCTGATGCGCGGCTTCTTAAAGTCGATGGCGACTCGGGTCGGTCTCAGAATACGACGCGCGGGATTGAGGGGCGCTATTTCCGCGCTACAGACCTCGCCGATAACCTCGAAGTGGACGAGATCATTTGCGGCATCAATCGCAACCCTAGGTCTGCTCAACCGGTGCGGTACGACGCCCTGCCGGTTGGGGGTTTTAGAGAGTTCGATTACATGAGGCGTGCCGTTGCGGATTTGCTGCACGGCGACTTCTGCTGCGATGCCGTCGACCCGTCCGAGTACCTCCCTCGCTCGCCAGGCCGACGGGTCACTTCGGAACGTGCCGCGCATCGGCGTAATCTCGATACCCAGAAAAGAGTTGTCGTCGTATGTCCTCATCGTGAAGCGATGAACGCCAGCTGGCAGGCTGGCTTTCTCCCAGATATTGAGCTTCAGCTCATCAGGCAGACGTGGGTAAAACGACATGGCTGTCAGATCTACCTTGCTGAAGTGGGCAAGGCACTTGACGTTCCTATGATGTACTATTAGAGATTGATCCGTCAGCTAGCAGTATGGAATTTGCAAGTTCTTAATGGGCTTGAATACAAGTCGTCGTGTGGTGATGAGTGCAACTAGTGCTCTAGGAAAGACGACGGGGTGTTATGGTCGTCGGGATAGAACAGCTTGACGAATTTAGAGAAGGAGGTATCCATACCGATAGAAGATCTGAAGGACTCGAACCACAACGCCAACTACAGAGGAGGCCCAGCTTGGCTACGACGTGCGAGGTGATACGGGGGGTATCGTCACCGGCCCTGATGACCTAGCTGGCGATGAGTATGGCCTGGATATTATATTGCTCATTAGCTTAAGATCTGTCGACCAGGGTGGTATCGACAAGTACACAAAGACGATGCCATTTGGGGGAATGGAAATAAAAACATATCACGTAGCTCAGCTACGCTCAGCTACGGCTGGTACAGTAGGTTGTGCACAGAGAGCGATGGGATGCGGGCGAGAAGGTGTATGTTGACTTACCAGAAAAGAAAAGAGCAACCCCAGATGGAGGAGCCGGCTATGGAGCTGTATAGTTTTGGAGGGCAGGTTTAGGTAAGTAAGGTAGCTCTCCACTGTAGGTGTATGCCTACGTGACAAGAGAATATCGCCGGCAATGTCTGCGGCCCTCTTGATTGATAGATGGGTTTGGAGATGGGAGAGTGGGTGTTGGAGGAAGGACCAACAGGCGTGGCACGGGGGCTGGATCAGGCGGTTACGGTTTCGAGCTTCCCCAGGGATAATGGCGATTTGATGGATCAGGAAATCCGAGTTGATGGAGGACGGACAAACCTAGTAATCACGATCTCCAGAGACGGCTGGAGGTATGCCGGCCTCGATATCTCGTCGACTTTGGTGGATGTGTGACGGGAAGAGCTGGGGATTGCGTCAACCAGAACGAGAAAATGTTTTCTCTGGAAGATGTGTGGCAATATGGAACCCCTCACAGACAGACAGACATGGTTAGCCTTAATTCACTGATATGGCCCATGGTTGCCGCGGGCGAGGGTCAACATCGCCAACTTGGAGAGGGCGGGCGAGAGTGGCTGGTATAGAGGTATTTACGCATAGGGATAGAAGTATTAGGATAGGGGGAGGGGGGGAGGTTAGACAATGGAAGACGGGGAACAGAAAGGGGTACTTTATTCTCTATCCACTGTATTCTTCACGGTGGTCAATTCTTTTGAGAAAACTAATACAGCGGAAGACGTACTATGCCCCTAAACCACCATAACTGCTGTAAGGTCTCGAGGTATCATGTCCTTTCTTCCTCGCCAGATAAACTTGAGATGTTTATTGTGTGATTACTGGAAGTAAACTACCAAGGTTCCTCAATAACCAAGGAAGCAAGTCCATCTACTGAAACGGCCTTGATATATTACCCCTATATAATAGCTTGGTATTTGCTACCTAAGAGATACTGGAACGCCTATCTATGCTGGGAATAGTGATACACTACTGTATAAAACATGTCCACTACTTACGAGACTGATGTTTCGACGCAGGAAATCAAGGAGATACACGACTCCCTTGGCTTCTCCAAGATAGTACTTCCTCCACAGAGAGGGAGAGAGGGAGAGCGTAAGCAAGTCTTCTCCCCTTTTAGGAGCAGACGATCTCGACGTAGGGCGAAACAGCTTCCGGACAAAGGGCTTTTATATACCAGTAAGTCAGGGGGCTTTACCTACGACCTGACTAGTCAAAGCGACACGCGAGACCCGCTATAGTCAGCTCAGTTGCACTCTCCAGTAACTGCTTGGCGGTATTCGTCTATTTCGCTTGCCACGGAGTGAGATCCCGGAACTGAGATCACAACAGAAGCAATGGCACAAGCACCTATACGTTGCGGTTCCCAGCGCGAGCGTCTAGTGCTGCGAAGATATTCACACAAATCCCCAGTAATATTGTCCAATTAAGCACCAGCCACGACCGCTAAGCTCTCATAGATCGTCCTCTTGACCGCATAGAACGTACCGCCGAGTTGGGTTGCCGGGCCGCCGTCTGTTGGCAGGCCGATGCTCTCCACGTCGATCCGTCCCGCTGTCGTCTTCCGCACCACCACCGACCCGTCTATCAACAGCGTGCCTTCGCCTCTAAACTCCGCCGTGTGGCCCGATTGCTGCATGGCTTTTCTCAGGTCGGCCAGTCGTAAATCACCGACGTGGAGCGGCTGGGCCACGGACCGGGTCGCCGATGCCATGCTGCTGGGAAGCACGTCAAGCGTCGGCTCCACAGCTACCACCGCCTCCGCTGAGTCTTCCGGCTCTTCCGTCTTGAGGCGCTTATTCGCCGCATCCTCGTCGTGGGCTGTCCCAAGAGCCTCCTTCCGTAGAGCAAGCAGTAGGCCGGTGACTGTTGCGATGCTCAATCCCCGTACTTTCTGCCACTTCAGCTGCTTGACGAGAGAGGGAGCCAGCCTGACCACCCAAGCATTCGTGTCGACACTCGCGTCGATGGTGGTGCCGACGCCTGGGGTGTAAATTCCGGTGGATCCTTCGGCGAGTAGCTTCTTGCAATCCGAAGCTAAAGCTAGCGTCTCATCCTCGCTCCCACCGATGAATATGAGTTTCCGGGGCTGAATCAAGGGAATCAGCATGTGCAGACTACGCTTGTCATGGATGCCGCTGAAGTCGATAAACTCGACCTCCAGGTTGATTGTGATCGTCTCCTTCGTAAACGCTAGCCTCGAAGGGCCGGTTGCCGCCTCGTCTAGATCATCTGGGACGCCGTCCAGCTCGTCTTCGACCAAATCGTTCGTGACTACCACTTCGAGGTCGTCCGAGGTGGTACGCCCGAAATGCGGTCGCTTTGACGACCCGCTGCCCTGGTTCTTGGCGGAGATGGCAGCGTTGTCCCATTTCCGCTTCTTCCCGAGGCCCTCCTGGACTTCATCCTTCGCCCCCTGCGCCGGATCCTGTCCATCGTTGTCATCCCTCTCCTCCGCTCGGAGAAAATCTTCGGGGCGGATAAGCTCCCCGTAATCATCTCCACGTTTTCTTCTAACTGGGTGCGGGAACATTCTGTCCCGCCCTTTCTTATTTCTGACGTCGAAATCGTGGACGCCTTTCTTCTTTAATAGTATGTTGATGCCGAGGTCTTCGTCTGTCAGAGCGGCCTTTTTTCTACTCGCCTGGCCCATCGTAGTCGCAGCGTTCAACGCTCTACCTTGTTGCTCGTTATCGGAATCCTCCGACTCGGACTCGGACTCGGAAGCCTCGTCACCTACATCCCCGGACGCCTCGAGTGCATTAGCTCCTCCGTTCTGGAGGGTGGTCTGAAGTTGGCGTTGTTGTGCGAGCCATTGTTGGTAGATGGCTAGGCTGCTGCCCTCTAGGGCCTCCCTCTTCGCGTCCGTAAACTCTAGGTCATGTTGAGTTTCGCCGTTCGCGCTGTCACTTGCGTGTTCCTGCTTTTCTTTCCACCACGTCCAGAGGCTCCTCGACAGCGAGACGCGTGCCTCCGAAACCAGCGACGGGTACTCGGTTAGAATGACCATGTTCTTCGAGTCCTGGGCGATCTGCTTCAACACGTCTCTCGAGAAGCCCCATTCCAACGTGGAGTCGCTTGCAAGTATCACCTTACCAACCGCACGACCTTCGTCGGCGGTGTCACGGAGTATTTTGTCAATCTGTCCCCTTCTATCGAGGAGCTTCAGGAATCTGAAGTTGAACGGGCCAGCCTCCTTACCGGGTTTGGCTCCATCGGCGCCGCCGTTCGCCGGCCTGGATCCATCGACGACGGCTTCGAACTCCCGGACAATGCTATCATCCATCCATTCTAGCATGCTCCGAGCGTACCTCATGGTGCTGTGGATATTACGACCGGCAAGGTAAAGTTTGGCAGACTTGAGCTGGCCCTCACCCGTCGACGCATCCACTCGCCACGCATGATCCATCAGGTACGCTAGTTCCAACACCCGCGCACTGGAATCGATCGGGATCAGGACGGTCCCGCCCCTGGCAACGCAGGTCCTAACCTTGCTCAGCAATTGCTCATCCCGCTTGGTCCGGCCGCCAGAGATGGACGGCTTCTCGCCTCCCTTACTGCTGCAGACTAGGGCGGTTGGTTTCCGTAGTTGCTCGATGATCTCGGCACCACCGCCACCGGCACCCCCCAGCCAGGCCGCTCCCGCGTACACATTCTCCCGTCCCTGGTTCCAATCGACGGCATAAACGATGGACTCTAGCCCATGCTGTATGTGCCAGATAGTACCGCCGAGCGTTCTACCCGAGTTATAGGCTGTTATGGTTAGTCCGTTCAGAGGGGGGGAGAACGGGGAGCCGAGAGGCTGGTGGGGTTGAGAGTATTTCAGCGGGTGGATGAGGGAGAAATATGTTGCAATCTCCTCGGGGGTCGGAGCTTGCAGGAGGATATCAGAGGAAGACTGTTGAGCGGTGTAGGAGACCTCGTCGAGAGAACTTGACGGGATGGTGGTGGCGGCGAGAGGAGTCGAGGCGTAGATATCCTGGAGCAACGTTCGGCCGAGCGAGATGACTGGGGAGGTCGCGTAGACGGGAATCCGCGTAAAGAGGGGGAAGTGCTTGCAGCAGTGCGCGAAGGCGGCAATGTGGTTCGTCGTCGCATGGGTCAGCAGGATGAGGGAAAGCGTCGGGACTTGCCTAGACGCAACTGACGGTTAGCGACGCCAGCACTCTCCGCGGGGGCGTCACGCTTACTTCTCTAGTTCCCTTAACTTGGAAACATCGAACGACTCATCCCAGCCGACGTCAACCAGGACTTTAATCCCCCCGTCGAGCTCCAAGATGGATTGCGACGCCGCCGATTCCGAAAGCGCCCCCAATAGAGGACTGAAGGTAAACATGGTCACGTCATGGTATCGGGAAGCCCGTGCGAGGATGGGTGGATTCGCAGCGACAATACGGTTTCTATGTTCCTGCGGCACGTAACTGCGATTGCGGTTGCGATCGCGGCTGCGAATCCGACGACGGCTGAAGGTGGTGGTGGTTGGCCGAGAAGTAGTAGATGGGAGGAATTTTGAAGGTGTCGCGCAAAGAGTAGAAAGCTGACGGGACCTCGACGGTACGTACCTACCGTGCCCAGCATCACGCTGCTTTCCAGTCCGCTATGCCCGACGCGGTGTGGAGCGTCCCCATTCCAAGGTGAGAGACACGGCGGGCAGTGGCTGAAAAAGTACTACTGTGGCTGGATGCATGTACACGGCCGCATGTAGGCACGCAGATATGTACCTGCGTCCAACATAGGAGGTACATGCGGCAGCCACGCGGTGGGGTTCCGGACCAAAAACCATCGGCGCTGGCAGATCGACGGAAAATCTCCGGAATGATGTCGTGTCAATTCCATCAATTGATCTCGCTGCCCCGGGCCGTCGCAATCCCAGCCGCTTTACACTGCCTATGCATGTACGTGTGATTTCAGATGCTATTTTCATAACTGTGGCCACGACGCCAACTAATTCTGCACAGGATTCGGAGGCACATCTCTAACACACACAGCCTGTCCCCCCCTATCCGTATCCATTTGGTCGTGCCTCTTGCGGACTCGTCCATCCCAAGCCCGTCTTGTCCACACAAGATCTCAACACGATATACCATGGACCGTTCCCAATCTTAACGTTTTCCCAGCTCGGAATCCTCTCAGACTGGCCCCTGAAGTCGGTCACGATACCACCATACGTTGCCGAGTTCGATCTCGCGCCGACACGACAACACCGCCTATATACGCACACGCAGCAATTTTAATATTCTGCCTCGTCTTTCCCCCTCCCCCTCCTCGATGGCTGACTATTCCATGTACCACGCTCTTGGGCAGGGCGAGCAACTCGATCCCAACGACCCTAGCCGAACGAGCCAGCCGGCCCCTCCACAATTCCAGCCGCCCATCGCTCAGAATCCCTACCAACAGCCCGTCGGCTACGGTTCTCCCGCGCCTCCGGGCCAGCAATACTATGGAAACCCTCCGCCGGTAGGCAGTTCCTCACAGGCTGCCGCGCCGGGGCTCGCTGCTCCGCCGGACGCGGGCCTTGCCTCGCAGATGGCCGGCATGTCTCTGGGCGATGGGCAACATACCGCGAGGCGGAAGAAGAAGGACCGGCACGCCTTCCACGCTGTCGAGGCGCCGGCTGGCTCTTCTCAGGCTTATAACGGCATACCACCGCCGACGACGTCGGCCACAGCTTTCCTCAATGCGGATCCCTCCGTTCAGCCAGGACCCCAGTTTATCGGCCAACCCTTGTCGCCAAACCAGTTCCCAGCGCCTACCGGTGCGCCTTTCCACCCGGCAGCTCCCGCCACCCCCGCCGAATTCGCTGCGAGGGGCGGCCAGATAGACCCAGGCCACGCGCCTGCATTCGTACCGGCGTCGGGAGGGGGACAGGTCTCGCCGGACGATATTCCGAGCGTGCCCCTGTCGAGAGATGTGCCGCAACAGTACTACCTAAGCAACGTGTACCCGACCTTTGAACGTCATATCCCCCCTCCCGCCACCGTTTCTTTCGTCGCCTTCGATCAGGGCAACTCGTCGCCCAAGTTCGCTCGGTTGACGATGAACAACATACCAGCCAACTCGGAAGGTTTGCATAGCACCGGTCTACCGCTTGGGCTCGTGTTGCAGCCTCTGGCCCGCCTCCAACCCGGCGAGACGGAAGTCCCCGTGCTTGATTTCGGCGATGTAGGACCGCCGAGGTGCCGGAGATGCCGCGCGTATATCAACCCCTTCATGATGTTTCGCTCGGGAGGAAGCAAGTTTGTTTGCAACCTCTGCACTTACCCCAATGATACCCCATCGGAATACTTCTGCACCACGACGCCCCAGGGAGTCAGGGTGGACCGAGATCAGAGGCCGGAATTGAATAAGGGAACCGTCGAGTTTCTAGTGCCCAAGGAGTATTGGACGAAGGAGCCGACGGGTCTCCATTGGTTATTTGTAATCGATGTTACCCAGGAATCTTATAATAAGGGGTTCTTGGAAGCCTTCTGCGAAGGCATCCTGGCCGCGCTCTACGCCTCGGGAGAGGATGAGGAGACGGACGAAGCCGGGGAGCCGAAACGGCGAATCCCACCCGGCGCCAAAGTCGGATTCGTCACATACGATAAGGACATTCACTTTTACAACTGCAATGTGAGTATCTAGGCTATCGGCGTCGGGATGTGTTGTTGACAGAAATGCAGCCGGCCTTAGAGCATGCTCAGATGATGATCATGCCAGATATCGAGGATCCCTTTGTGCCGCTCAGCAATGGATTGTTCGTAGACCCGTACGAATCGAAAGCCGTGATCACGTCGCTGCTTGCACGACTACCCACCCTATTTGCCGATATAAAGAATCCGGAACCCGCCCTGCTACCCACCTTGATCTCGTGTTTAGCCGCATTGGAAAACACGGGGGGGAAGATTGTGTGTTCGCTTTCCGCTCTGCCTACCTGGGGCCCCGGTCGGCTTTTTATGAGAGACGACGGGAAGTATCCAGGCGGCGAAATAGATAAGAAGCTCTTCACGACGGAGCACCCGGGATGGAGGAAAGTTGCGGAGAAGATGGTGGCCGCTGGCGTGGGCATTGATTTCTTCTTGGCCGCTCCCTCGGGCGGGTATTTAGATATAGCTACGATCGGTAGGTGTTCCGATGAGACAGTGGATAGCGCATTGCCATCCCCGTTGCTAACCGCCAGAAGGCCACGTCTCATCTACGACAGGCGGCGAGACTTTCTACTATCCCAATTTTGTCGCCGGCCGCGACAATGCCAAGCTCTCCCTCGAGATTAAACACACGGTCACAAGGGAAACGGGATACCAAGCGTTGATGAAAGTGCGGTGCTCTAACGGCCTCCAGATATCCTCGTACCACGGCAACTTCATACAACATACCTTCGGGGCGGATCTCGAGATAGGCGCCATAGACTCCGACAAGGCCGTCGGCGTTACATTTGGCTACGATGGGAAGCTCGACTCGAAGCTCGACGCACATTTCCAATCCGCTTTGCTGTACACGACCGCATCCGGCCAGCGGCGAGTACGGTGCTCTAATGTGATCGCTAGCGTCAGTGACAACCCGAGAGAGTGCATGAAGTTCGTAGATCAAGACGCTGTCTATACCATCCTCGCCAAAGATGCTGCATCCAAGTTGGCTTCAACTTCGAGCACGCTGAAAGACTTGAGGCTGGGCCTTACAGAGAAAACAATCGATATCCTCGCAGGTTATCGTAAGAATTTCTCGTCACAGTCCCATCCGCCGGGACAACTCGTCATGCCGGAGAAGCTCAAGGAACTTTCCATGTACATGCTCGGACTCATCAAGTCCAGAGCCTTCAAAGGTGGAAGCGAGACCTCCGACCGGAGAGTGCACGAAATGCGCATGATCAGGTCGATGGGCGCTCCAGAGCTGAGTCTGTACCTGTATCCGAAGATGATACCGATTCATAACCTGAATCCGGAAGACGGATTCCCCGATCAGACAGGCAACCTAAAGATGCCACCTGCCATTCGCACGTCATTCAGTCGAGTCGAGCCGGGAGGGGTATACTTGGTAGATAACGGACAGCAGTGCCTGTTATGGTTCCATTCCCAAACCTCGCCTAACCTACTGGTGGACCTCTTCGGAGAGGGCAAGGACAGCCTCAACCAACTCGATCCGTACAGCTCGTCCTTACCCGTTCTGCAGACTCACCTCAACGCCCAGGTCCGGAATATCATCGAGTTCCTCAAGGCCATGCGCGGTTCTAAAGCATTAACAATCCAGCTAGCCAGGCAAGGAATTGACGGAGCTGAATATGAGTTTGCAAGGATGTTAATCGAGGATCGCAACAACGAGGCCCAGAGCTACGTGGACTGGCTAGTACACATCCACAAGGGCGTACAACTAGAGGTAGGTTAATCCCCCCTCGCACGGCTTTCGTGGAAATGCGTCGGGACGCTCGGAAAGCGACTCTATCCAAGCGCGTCTTAATCCATTCTCTATCTATCCCTACCCCCAAAGAAGACTTAGCCACTGACGCCGCCCAATGCAGTTGGCCGGGCAAAGACGAAAAGAGGGCGATGACCACAGCTCCATAGCATCAACGTTCCAAGGTTTGAGACCACAATATTGGTAAGATTACTGTGCCCAGGGTATACGCCTTCGCGGACCACCCTCGACCCTCGACCTGGCATCGAGGAAGCATACTAGATCCTGAACAGAGAGAGAGAGAGCTCTGGGAGGGAGGAAGCAATTCTAAATCGAACGAGGGTACATGCAAATATTCTGTGGCCAAGTCGCACTACGTGGGCTTCATGTCTTGCTTCTTAGGGTACGGGGCCGGCAGCGTGCTTCCATACCCCGATCAACATATTCCTCCTTGGCGTCGAGTGATCTCTACGCAAATTCGCCTCGTCCCACTTTCCCGTTCGAGATATCCCAATCAATATGTGTGCCGTCGACTTCTTTATTTTCCGCCGCGGGATACCCATAGTCCACTCGACCGCGGTCCTACCTGAGAATGGGGGAGGCATCTCATTTCAGCCAGCCCTCGTTCGGCCGAGTACTATGCATCTCGCCTGTGACCACTGCAAAGCAAACACGGCGGAAGAGGAACCCGAGACATTCGAAACTAGCCGACTGCCTCAGTCCGTTCCAGTAACGGCCGTGAGTCCCGGTGGCGCGAGTCAGTCCATGGTGATCGGTCTATAGGGACGTTTAGAGGCTTGCCAAAATGAACGAATTCCGCGTTATTGCCAACATGGGTTCCTTGGACAACCCGTGACCGTGCTTCCAGATCAGTTGTGTCCTATGTAGATGTAGGACCTTCGAGTACGTCTAGACACTCTATAAGTGTGTGGAACAATAGACGCTTACACCCCCCTCAACCTTGGAGTAAATCTATATTGGTTCGCGAAGCGAACCCAGGAGCTAGGTCATAGGATACAACGTCACCACGTTGCGGTGACTACTAAGCGTTAGGCCGATCATCGCGATTCCAAGCCCAGCTTGCCTCTGGCGTTGACACGCCCAGGGGTCGCATTCGCCTAACCAGCAACGAAAGAGCATCTCGTGCGATACAGTATCGTGCGCCACGCCACGCCACGCCTCACGGAGCAATTGAACAATCCCATTACGGGGCCGCCCTCAGCAGTTTCAGCTCCACGGGTTGTCTACTAACGTAGTGGGTGCTCGGGCATCCCAGTCACCGAGCAGTCGATCGGACCATGCTTGCCTACCAACGTCGCTCTCTCGTCCTCAGTGCTTCCAGCTTATATGGACTTGCCAATATAGTAGCGTCCTACGCTATAGCCCAAAAAGAGGCTGTCCCAAGTCCCGCTCAAGGTTCCGCTCATGATGATGACCCTCTTTCTAATAACACGTTATGGCGGAACCCAAGCAGGCAGCATCCCACACTTTCTCGCCATGGCAGCGTCCGGGGCTCATAGACCAGTAGGTTCTCGCTAGGTAATCTGTATAGGTCTCAACCGTCACTTCGAGCCGTCCCACGCCTAGTAAATATGCTGGAGCCAATAATGCACATCAGAATCCCACGGCCCATTCGCCGGTCCAGGCACGTAATAAATGACGAAGCGGGCAAAGCTCCGAGCAGCAATCCTGAACCTATCGATGGCATCTGGGGCTTCTCAGCTAGCCAACTCGAGCGCGCACTATCGACAAGTCCATCTGACTGGTCTTATGCGCCTCGTGGGGTCCTCCCCACGTCCGTATATTCCCAGAAATACCACGCAGCATGGATAGTCCAGACGGCGTAAGCATCAAGCAGGTGATGTAGGTATGTAGGTATGTAGGTATGCATGCACAGGTATACCGGCCTGCACGGGAGCGGAACCTGGTCCGCTCCCCACGGGATCTCGCGATGCGCGTCCGCAACCTAATCTCCCTTCGCATACGATTATGATAACGCGCAGCCTGCACCTTGGAGCTTACCCGTCTGGAGGAGCGGTGGCGGTGGAGGAGTCCGGGGGGGGGAAGGGAGGAGTGGGAGGAGAAGGGGGGTTCTCGGCATCCCGCGCGATGATGCGCTGAAAACTCGGCAGCCTGCCTACAGGAAGACGTCTCCCCTCCCGACGCGTCCTTGGAGAAAGAAAAAGAAAAGTAAAATGGAAAATGGGAAAAAATGACCTAACACTCGCATATGAGATTTTCCCGACAATGACATTGTGGCATGATGCGACCGAGATGCGTACGACGCTCCAATCTGAGACCCTCCCCTCTGGCGATGGCGTGGTGCCAGCCCTGCCCATATTAAACTGCCTACCTACCTGCCTCTGTACGTGTGTGCGTATGTACGTATGCAAGTACGCCTGTCGCGGCGCCGCTTGGCGCGCCTCCTCGCCCACCAGCGCCGATCCGCCAAACCCGGAAACTCGGAACGGCCGTCGTCGATCTCCAACGTGACCTCCTCTAGGGGCCTGAAGGGAGGGGGGGACGGCTGAGACAGCGTCTGAGAGAGGGGAAAGCTGGACGTGGGTGGCGAGACGGCCGCCACCGCTCCCACATGGCGAGGATGCGCGGGCGACGGCCTGAGAGGAGAGATCGCGCGCGCTTCGCCTATCTAAGACGTTCTTGGTCGCGGCCCCAGGGGCTAGCGGTTCGGCGCGCGCTGAGAGAGAGGGGGGTCCCGGATCGTAGGCCAGGCGCGGTAGGAGACCACTGACAGGAACCACTGACGGGAACCAGGTGCGCGGAATAGAAGAAGCTCTCCCCCTTCCTCCCCCCCCTCCCCCCCCCCCTTCTCCCCCCAGCGCCGGCGCGCCAAAAGGCAAGCTGGACCCATGATCTCCCGTCCTTTGCGCCCACCGTTGCTTTTCACGCCCTCGCGCAGGCGTCAACTTCTGGCCTCCGCACCGCTGCATGCCTCGGGGACGGGCGCCTCCTCCTCCCGCGCGAATCACATCCCCAAGGCCCAAGGGGGGGTGGCCCTACTCCTTTCTTTTTTCGAGAAGGCCAGAACGGCCGGTTCCCGTGTGGCTGGGGCGCGCACACCTACGAGTCCCGGAGGTTTTGGTTTGCTGCTTCTTTTTTCCAAATTTTGATTTCTTTATTTTTCTTTTCCCTTCCCACGATGCTTGCCGTCGGCGCATGCGTGGCATGCAGAGAGCATGGGTGTCCGCTACCTATGTATTATCTGCATTGTCTCAATCTTCCAGGTTCCAGAGACGGGAGGCTGTCCCCAGGGCTTGCTCCCACCCATTGGCTCACGGCTCCTCCTCTCCTCCGTCCCCCAACGTCCCCCCCCCCCCCCCCTCTCCCCCTCCCTCCGTCACTACATTTCAGCCGCGACGAGGGCATGCCCAACGGTCGGTCAGCCAGCCAGCCAGCAAACGGGGCGTATGTGGGCTGGCCCGACGCGAGAGGGGGTAGAAGGTACTCCTCCTCTTCCTCGTCGCGTCCGACGACGTTCGTCTTGGTTTCACCTCTAGGCATCTTCACCGCTTCGGGATTTGAAAAGGTGTGATTAGGATTCGGGCCAGGCAATAGAATAGGTAGTTAGATAGGGGCTACCCCCGTCCCCGTGACCGTGACCGAGGTGTCTTTGTTGTTAACTGGCCGCCGAGCCCGAAACACTCGCCAATTATCATACGTGTGTCATGCGGATTGGGGTCCAACGGAGCCTCAATGCTTGTAATGGGCGATATTCACCTCATGCCTCATCGTAGATTCGCTCCCGTCTTTCTACCCTGCTCTGCCAACCAGGGGTCGTGAAAATGCACATTACGTATAAGGTGGCGCCAGCCGACATTGCTCCACGGCAAAACAAGGCCATTCGGGCCACAGCCCGTAGACTAGCGATCCTACTATCACCAGCAGGATCCTCGGCAGTGACAGTTTCAATAGTTTAGGAGAGCGCAGTGCACAGAATGGTTTGGCTTTGGAGAAACTTGGGAAATTCTCGTAAACACCCTCCCCTCTTACCCGGCGAAGAAGGCGACGTGTGACCGTCATCTCGCGTAATGAGTGCCTCCCACACACCTGAAGCGTAGGTACACCATATACCAGTTCCCTATGTAGAAACAGGAGACGACACTGCACCCGACCTCACTGTACAGGCTCGTCCTCCCCTCCCCCCAAAGAGACGCAGCTATTACCCAGGAACAGGCAAGATGGAATCCTGAAAGGGGACAGTTCAGGCGCCTAGAAGAACCTAATCTATGAGAAGGGACGTCTTCTTTGTAAGTTGGACAAAAGAAAAATTATGTTAGTCTCGTTCCATGTAGCTAGCCTCTGAAAGAGGGCCGAATCACTGGGTTTTTAGTTTGGCCCCATGTTCGTATGGCACTTCATGTCGTGTAATCGCGTACGACAACGCTCTCACGTCTCTTCCCTGACAACCCCGGCAACCCTCCCCTGGCCATTCCATCCATTCATGACGTAAGCATAGAAATGCCGTACCTAGGATCCGGCCGGCCGAGGACATTTTGAATCTCGCTGGGGTCGAAGACGGCGGAGAAGATCTCGAAGTCGCTAGGGACCGGGCCGCTACCGCCGGCGCTCGAGCTCGAGGAGCCGGAGGCGAAGGGCTTCGACGACGAAGAAGAAGACTTGCTCCCCTTAGAGCTGCCACCTTTACTCTTCTTGGCGATGTCGTCGAGGATGAGCTTCGCTGTGCTCTGGTACTGGTCCTCGAAGACAAACGCGACGTGGTCGAAGCGGCCGCGGGTGTCTGGGTCGTAGAGGAAGACCTCTCGCCAGAGCTCGGCGAGCTCGCGCGGTGGGTTGCGGTGGCCGTTGCCGAGGCCGAAGTCGCCGATGACGACGGTCCGGTGATCGTAGTACACGCAGATCCGCAGGGCCGCGCGTAGCTTGTTCTTGACCATCTCGCGCTCGAGCGGGAACGCGTACTTGGAGCCGCCGTGGCTCAGCTTCGGCCACCGCGCCGCCGGCATGGAGATGACCGGCAGGTCGTACCACTGGTCGAGCTTCTTGTACTGGTCGTGCGGCCCGCGGAAGACGACGACAAACTCCGAGTATATGCCGCCCTCGGATGGGATGGGGTAGTTGCTCTGGACCTCGGACCCTGGGCCGGGCGTGCTCAAGGTAGCCGAGAGGGTGCTGCGCCTGCACAAGCGCTCTTCGTACCCCACCTAAAGGAGGGATGGTAAGCCTAAAATACAAGAAGAGGCGACCTCGCGAAGAGGGGAAAGGGGATATATCCTCACTACTCCAGTTTCCCAGTCCCCGCCGGCCCTCTTGTCATTTGCGGCGCATATGAACGGTATCCGGATGTTCACCTTCTCCTTCCAGTTAATAGTAAAGTCGACGGGATCCCCCGAACAGATGTCTTTGTGGCACATTGGGGTTAGAGCGAGATCGCGGACCGTGGAGAGCATAACTAACAGAATTCCGGAGGCGACGGGGCGAACCCGCTGACGGAGCTCTGCAATGGAATCTGCTGGAGCGGCTGCTGGAATAAGTACGAGTGTGTCGGCCATTGGTGCGCATATTCGTTCTTGATGGACGGTATGTAATGTCGCTTCGTCTCCGCGGCGACCTCGGACGGCTTAGGTTTCGAAGAAGGCATGGGGGAGAACGCTCGAGTGGCTCAGTTCTTACGAAGGGCGGGAATAAAAATAGTAATATAAACATCAATGACAATTACAACAGCAATATGGCAACGATGCGGTAGCCTCGGCCGTAGTGTTAAGTACTGAGATATTACGGGGGGCTGCTGGTCGATCGGCAACAAATAGGTGCTCTATGCGGCCGGGTTTTTATATCTTTATACAGCCCAGGATAGGTGCAGCTGCTCCATCCTCCCATGATAGACGGACAGCTTGGGATGGATGGGGCTTCATGTTCACTCAGGCGGTGCTGCCCACCCCCAGCGACAGGCCATCGTTCGCGGGAGAGACTTTGTGTTACCAATATAGGATGATTGCTCTCGTCGAGTCCACCATGTCCTAGACATCGAGATGAGGAAATTCGGACAATGGGTAAGGAGACTCGCTCTTGATAAAATAACCTGCGGCAGCGTTTCCGCCGTCTTTTCCCACTGAGCATCCCAGCCTGCTGGGAGAGTTAGACATCTGTCTCTGTGGCACAGTTCGGCTCCCAGGTAGATGGGAACGCTGCTCGAGTTGAGGGTCAGGGCGCACTGCAGATAACCGAAGTTGGACAGATCTGGTCCCCCCTCGAGAGTGCAGAATCGTAGGACACTGGCGGGCCAAACAATCGAGCGGGCGGTAGCTGCGTAGGTCTTCCTTCCCACTGCCGTCGAGACGCCGGCTGTAGGTCCTGCGGCCTATGGGAGGCGACTACGTCTAGAACCTTTCGGCAATGCCGGGGATATTCTCTCCTCGATGTATGTACGGTCTGGGTAGACGCAGGAGGGACTTGGATTTAGCGACGATGGCTAACGAGAGGTTGGCCAGGAGGAGAGGCGGCGATCCGCCCCCCAGCAGGGTCAGGGAGACAGACGGGTCGGCTTCAGTCGACATCTTTCCCATTCCCCCCCCCCCCCTCCCCCCCCTTTTCGCCCCCTCCCTCCTCTGGCTCCTCTCCCCCGTGCATAAGTGTCGCTAACCACATCGAAAACACGCTTACGATACTACCGCGCTCTCTACAGGACAGCGCCGGCTGGCTAGCCAGATGGATGGATCGGTGTGAAGATATCGAGCATCTAAGGGCCGGTGTGACACAATACCGTTAGTAGACTGCATGCTAGGAACTCCCCCGTCTCGGGTTACGGCTGACGATGGCGGTACGGAGCGCGTCATCGTATGGATAATGCTAGGCTATTTGACTGGTAGAACGATCCTGGTCTGCTTCGTCGTGACGGCTCTTGGGGGGGGGGGGGGGGGTCTCTGACTAGGCAGGCACCAAATGATCTGTTTCGGGATAGGAGGCGAGCTATTTGCAGTTTATTTAAATAATAGATTAATTGCATCTGGTACGAGGAGGACACGAATCACTTGATGGCGAGAAGAAAACTTGGCTCGAGAAAAGAAAAAGAAGAAGCCCTGACGCATCGCGGGCTGGACAACGTCGAGGACGCTGTGGATGACTAAGGTCTGTGGATGCCTCGCAGCTCCAAGGCTGGGTACCTAGGTACCCAGCCTAAGGTAGCTGGTAGGTACACAGGTACCTTCCACAATACGTCATCGGAATATCTAATCCGAGGTACCTACCTAGGTGGGTCTCTCTTTCTTTTTCTGCTCTTTTCTTTGCCTTCTTTCCTCTTTCCTCTTTCCTTCTCTCGCTCTCTCGGATCAACTCGGCCTTCCGAGAGAGGACTTGATAATTGCCTACGGGTACTTTGGTACCCGTCCTAAGGCACAATAAACTTAGGTGCGCTCAAGTTGCATCCCGACAAATTGCCGACCACGATACGATATTTTATTGTAGGCAGGTCTTTCAGTGTACGTGGGGCACGTCAGAGAGCATCGCGGCATCATCGTTCGCCCGTCCGTCGGTGGCATGGGTACGAAGCTGAGACGCGCATATTTGGCCCAAGACTGACAGGATACCCAGACCTTCTCCTATCCGCCCACCCAAGATGATCCTCTAATCCCTGTGAAACAGGCACAAAATAGGTATCTCGTGCGCCTCCCGGACATCTGCTAGCGGGTGGTGTGCGATGAATCCCGTCTTGCCGTTGCTGAGGAGGGCGTCGTCTAGACAGCCCCAGATCCTCGGACGAGCAGTCCCGCGGCGGTCCATCTCCACGCTGCCAGCCACTGTCGCCGGCCTCCTCGAATTCAAGCCCGACCAACCGGTCCCGGACGTCAAGATCGACGGCTTCGTTCGGTCTGTCCGCGCACAGAAGCGACTCCATTTCGTAGCCCTCGGGGATGGCTCCTCTCTCGAGCCGCTCCAGGCCGTCGTGCCCCCCGATCAGGCTGAAGGGTGGGATATCCAGATCCAACGCGGTCGCCGTTGTCTTCGCTAATGGCGCACCTCTTCGATAGGCTGACCACGGGAGCGGCTGTCCGACTGCACGGGTCCTGGATCCCCTCTCCAGGCCGTGGACAGAGCCACGAGCTACAGGTCGAACGGGCTATAGTCTTGGGCCCCTCGGACGCCGAAGTTTGTTCAAGCCCTTCCCCATGTGCCCCGTTATAGCGGAGGGCGTGCTATTGCTTACCACCCCCTTAGACATTCCCGATACAGAAGAAATACCAGACCCCGGAATTCCTGAGGACTCTGCCCCATCTGCGCCCAAGGATACCCCTGAATGCCACCGTCTTACGATTTCGCTCTGAGGTCATCGCGTCTCTGACACGGTTCTTCGCTGGTCGCCATTTCGTGCAGACCCACACGCCCATCTTCACTTCGTCAGACTGTGAGGGTACGGGAGAAGTCTTCCACGTATCCACCGATCGAGCAGCCCTGCCATCCCCTGCCACGTCTAAGACACAGAAGTCTTTCTTCCGTCGTCCCGTCTACACGACTGTGTCAGCTCAGCTGCATCTGGAGGCTCTAGCGCAGGCCCTCGGCAATGTCTGGACGTTGTCCCCAACCTTCCGCGCCGAGCAAAGTGACACCCCACGTCACCTCAGCGAATTTTACATGTTAGAGGCAGAGATGTGCTTCGTCGACGGCTTAGACCCGGTGCTAGATCTCGTGGAAGACATGCTGAGGCATGTCTGCACCGAGTTGGCTGAGTCGAGAGTCAGGAGAGAGCTGGCAGCTCGAGCAGGCGAGCGCACCGCAGATTTGGCCCCGGCCGAGCAGGTGGCCCAACGTTGGGAGGGCATCCTGCAGACGTCCTGGCCGCGCATCACATACACTGAAGCCATCGAGGTACTAAGACTCTCCGACACGCCCTTTTCCCACTCCCCTATTTGGGGCGAGGACCTGCACACGGAACACGAAAAGTATATTGCGACGAAAGTGGGCAATGGGAACAGTCCCGTGTTCGTCACCGACTATCCGCGAGACATCAAAGCCTTCTACATGAGAGCAAGTGCGGAGGGCTCCGACGGGTCAGGGCCTCCTGTTACGACAGTGGCTTGCTTCGACCTCCTCGTGCCAGACTTCTGCGAAATTGCTGGCGGGTCTATGCGCGAGCATCGGCTCGAGAAGCTCCTAGACGCCATGCGCGCACGCGGGATAGACACGGGAAAGTCATCGCCAGATACCGCCCCCGACCCCTCTCAAGCAGCCGAGAACAATCTCGACTGGTATGTCGACCTGCGGCGCTGGGGCTGTCCTCCCCACGGCGGCTTCGGCCTGGGCTTCGATCGGCTGATATGCTATCTCGCCGGAGTCCCAACAGTCCATGACACAGCCGCATTTCCCCGCTGGTACGGCCGATGTGATTGTTAAACAATACACCAAGTTGGCGGCCATGTTGTGCTCGTTAATGCTTGCTCTTCTGGGATGTTGAGAGTGTCTCGTGCAACGCTCGTACAAAAATGCATTGCTAGCTCCAACCTGACTGCCAAACAAGCTTTTGTGGCGGCTGCTGTACACTTGTCCAGACCTCGCAGAGACCAGAACAGAAGCCTGCGTCCGATTTTGACAGGTTCCGAACCCCAAATCTTGCCTCCGTGACTCCTTCAGGCGTGGCTTTCCCTCTACCAGTACGGCGCTAGGGTTCGTCGGAGAAGGGGGCCCGTCGGCTGGCTGGCCGGCTCCCGCCGGGCCCAAGCTAACGACAGGCTGCGAGAGCGAGAAGACCTCCAAATGCCAAGGCGCCTTGTGACGGAGAGCAGGCTCTGGAGAACGACAGGTTCTCGGCAGCTACCGAGGTGCAACTACATATAGTGTTGAATAGGATAGCATCTGTGCACAATGTCATACAGAAAAGTCGCCCATCCATCTCACCGGCTCTCTCGTTCAGCGGTCAGTCTCCCGCTCCCAGACCCTCCCGGGACTGCAATTTCGCGACGAGGGATTCGCTCATGAAACGGCCCACGGTCCGGCTGTGGGAACACGCGACTATCGCGTCACAGGTGGTTCCCCTCCACGAACCCCGACCGGCCGACACGGCCAAAGATCCCGAGCCAGTATGACGGAGCGCAAGCTCTCCCTGTTGAGAGAACCGCAATAGCGCGTGTCTGGTCCGACGGTTCGCGCGCTGGGCTGCCGCGAAGACACCGTCTGGAACCAGTGACAACGCAGACTCGATCTCGGTGGGCGCATCTTGTATTCACCATAGCATCATTGGTACGGCCGAAAGGGAGCATGTTGCCAGAAACGGCGAGGGCCTCTTCTAGGCGAGCGCACGTTGTGCGACGACGTGTCTGATACGCAAATCCAGGCAGGCCTCGAATCGCTCACGCATGCCCAAACCGTAGTCCCCTCAGGTTCCCGCAACCTAACCGGCTCCATCCACGATATTGGCCCGCGGCTCGGCCGTCCCCACGGCCCAGCTACCCGTCCGTCTGCTGTTGCGATGCGTTTCCTCTCTTCTCTTCTTTTTTTCTTTTCTTTTTCCCTCTTCCGTCCTTTTGCTCGCGCGGCTTGTAGAAAATGCGCCCACATATGCCGGCAAGGACGGATTAGTGCCATACCACCGCACCATCCATCCCTCTTGGGGCCATATTGACGTTTCATCTGATGCAAGGAATGGTAAAGTAGCCATCCATTGGGAACGGGACCAGAAGCTGTCATGATGCAGTTGGCCTTCGATGTCTATGCAGTCGCCCTCCTCTCCGATTCCCCCCTCGAGCTGCCGTTGGCCTCGCCACGATGCTACGCAGATACAGGCAGGCAGCCTTAACCGCCTGCCAAGCACGAGTTGTTATGTAGAAAGACTGCTACGATGGTAGGGGGTCACATTGGGCCGCGGCGTAATTCCCGCTGCACAAACGATCCCAGGTTCGTAATCGGCAGACTCCCTTCCATCTTTGGGGCTCTTCTGTCTCCCCCTAGTTGCATCCGCAGTGACGCCTCTTGCCTTGTTGGTGGTATACGGCAGTACGCCACGGCAGTATATTATTCGGAGCTCTATTTACCTCGTGACAGCGGGGTCGGCGATATCCAGAGGCAGGGAGACCGAACACCTCCCTCCCCCCAAAGCTGCTGCTATATTGGGTAATAAAACCGCGATCATATCTGACGGCGATTCGCCCCTGCGAAAAAAATCCTGAGAGTGAGGCAACGGCAAAATACATGCTGGTGCAAGGGTGTATCGAATGGACGAACGGACGGTGTCCGCGCCGGAATCTCTGTGTTCCCAAGATATTAGGTAGGTACTCACGTGTGTATCCGGGGTGCAGGATTCTTCCTTGGGCGCTTGCTGTGGTCGTGAGCCCAGATCCCCGATCAGCACACAGACATACGCTCTCCGACTCTTGGGGCTTGGGCTCTCTCCGCCTGAGCAAATAGCATCGTTTGTGTCGGTCACAACGTCGATGGCATATGACGATAATATCCACCTGGGCTACCTACGCAGACAGCTTGGTCTGGCTCGCCCATGGACCCCTCTTCTCTGCACACCCAGAAACTTGGCGTTTTCTTGACGCATCTTGGCTACGCACTATCATGTCGTCGGTATCGTCGAAAGGGCCAGTTGCGGAACCAGTTCGTTACAACACGCAGCTAAGCTCGCAGCCCATCACATCATAACACAATGCGACACGACACGACACAACGCAGCACAACAAAACACCCGTACGGTGTGTACTGCTCGGCTCGACGCGCTAGGCAGCAATATGGCAATGATCTGGTTGGGCTTTGGCGAGAATATCCAACCTCGTCTGGCCACCGTCACAATATCACAACAGGACAGTCAAGCCCGGGTAGCAAGCCGGCTGTACGGGTATAATTTCCCCCTTTGGGGACCGATGCCCATGAGCCAGATCGCCGAGCGCCCTCCCTTGTCCGTCCCGCTCACTACCTCTCCGCCTCCACCGTGACATATCTGCTGCTGTAAGGCTCGGGGGAAAACAAAGCTGATACTTTGCGATGGTGGTAGCATGCGATGTCCCACCTCACGGAGGGCGGGCCCTATTAGTTTAGGCTCGAGGGGCCCTGGTTAGGCGGCTATCGATCCTAGTAGAGCGTTTCGGCCATACGTCTAAAAATAAGAATAGTGACCACGATGGAGGAGATGATGATACCGATAATCTACGGCCCCCCTACTACGATAGGAAGCCCACCACTGTACAGCACACATTCTCATTGCATGATTTCTCGGCCTATCTGCCGCGAATTGTCATCCCTCTCACAAGAAGCCGCCGGCGCGCCGCTAGTGATGAACAATGGGGTATCACCGAAGGAGGCCGCGTCAGCACATGACAGACGACAGAAGAGCGAGCAAGCTGTTAGAATAAGGTGGGTTTTCTGGTGTGGGGAACCTTGGCATCACCTCCGAGGGGCCAACGCAACGGTCACAGATTTGTTGGCGCCTTGGCCTTCTGCCGAGGTGCCTGAGCCGGGTACGTCTTCACTCTTGATTCTCTCCATCGTCTCAAGTGCCTCCTCGCAGGACTAGGGGTAGGCGAAGGAGGAGCGAGGAGGGGAGGAGGTCCTTTTCACGCTCGAAACCCATTAAACAGCGAAGATGACGGTGAAGAGGGAAAACGCAAGGACTCTCTAAAAGCAAACAGCGAAAAAAGAACCGAAAGAAAAACGGCAAAGGTAGTTCAAACAAATGTACACGCTACATTACTCACTGAGTACACGAGTACACAGGGTAAGAAAACCTGAGAAAAGCCCAGGACAATGCCAAGCTGGCTGACCAGGGCTCGGCGGGTCGCCCCCCCCTTTCGCCATATACATAAGAAAGGGAAGTGCAACACTAAGACGAATAGGATGTGAGTGGCACCCGAGGACGGTTCTGATTTGATCAGACACCATGTCCTCGAATTAAGCTTAAGCTTGTCCATCTGTCCATCGTCGGGGGGGGCGTTCAGGGTTAGGGGTTGGGAGCGTTGCATAGCTTCGGAACTTGGGTTGCTTGGATCTTCTTGGGTGAGCCCCCTCCCCGGCCAAAGAGACAGGAGAGAAAAGCGGAAGCGGAATCAAGCAAAAACAAACGAGCTACTAAGAACTAAAAACACGAATGGCAAATCGATTTGTCATCTGTTCCGCAGGCTACATCCACAGGGCCGGCGTATGTACAATACGAGATACTAAGAGCGAGATCAAAGCGGCGGAGTGCGGCGCAGCAGCAGTTCGCGATAGGCGAAGGAATGTTCTTGTCTGTGTGTGTGTCTCGCTCTCGTCTCGTCTCCTAACCTTGCGAGGGAAAAAATAATTTGTAAGAGAAAAAGAGAGGGAGGAAACGGGAAAAGAAAAGAAAAGAAAGGAAAGGAAAAGAAAAGAGAGTAAGAAGAGAAAAGAAGAAGAAAAAAAAACCTCAAGTTCATAAGATGATATTGGTTGTGGCCATTAGGAGTATTGTCGCAATGGACATTGCATTATTCTTGGTATTATTATTACTACTGCTATTATTATCGTGCTCGGGGGGGTACGGAAGGCCGGGAGTAGGGCATGTCATGTCCTGGAGAAGAGCAATAAATAAAGCTGTAGATATGACGCCGAGATATTGGAATATTGGTTGGCATCACGTCACGCCCCTTTATTGCCCTCTCGGCGATTAGGCGAGCCTCGCATTTTGCCTATCAAGAAAAACGATGGAAACCGGAAGTGCCTGTTTAGGCCGCTCTCTTTCTCTTTGCTTCTTCTTTTCTCTCTCCCTCTGTCTACGTATCGACCATCTCCCCTTGCTTATCGCGCGAATATCACGGAGATAAAGACGCGTTGGACAAGCGAACGAGTCCAACCTGCATAATGCTTAGCATAACACTTGATAGCCCATACGCACTTATTACCTGCCTAGACGTAGTAGCGACCGCCCTTCCTTGGCGCCCGGGGCTCGATGGATCGACTTTGCTGAGAATCTTAATCCAGCTCCGGCTCCCCCTCGCCTATATGCCCTGGCATAGGCACGTCAGCGTGAATACACTGGAGATGGGAAACCTAGAAAGGACTAGAGAAACTAGGCGAGCGAGTTATAATGGGCTATAATGGGCAGCCTGGTGGTGGGTCACGGGCTCATCAGCTAAACCACATACATGCCTAGCAGTACGTAGATTAATGCATCCTAAGACGCCTAGCAGGGCGAGCTGCTGGTCGTGGCCGGGGGCTGGAGGAGGAGAAGGACACAGGGACGGACACAGAGCAGCGACGGAAACGGGCGTCTGAATAAGATTATGAACTATCGGTGTGGGCTACGAATCAGCATCCCTCTCTCGCTCTCTCCCTCTCTCGCCTGCCCGCTTCGAGACACGGCCTTCGGAGCAACACAGGCACATAAGCTGAGGGACGGGTTTAGATCGACATGCCTCATACATGCCCGCTACGCCCGCCTAGTTACGGGTTAGGGAGACATGCTATATGCATGTACGTAAGATGGACCACGAGAAACAGAAGAGACGACAGACAGAAGAGGGAGAGAGACAAGAGAAGTGTTTTACCACCGGTGGGAGTAGTAAGAGGTAGATGGTAGGTATATTACTATCCCGTATATTCGACACGTACCCAGGTGACTGACTTGCTGACCGACCGACGTCTGACTGACTTGTGCCTTATGCGCCCGCTGGCGCCGAACGTGCCTATAACCCATGGTAAGAATTGCCGTGCCAATGGGGAAGAGAGAACTGTCTATGCACAGTTACACTTCCAGTTACACAAGGCTTATTGTCGTTATTATCACCCTGAAGAGCTGCGCCGCTTTCTTGTGTAATGACGGATGGGCCCTGGAGACGCCTGCGAAGGATTCGGTGGTCGACTTGCTGGCCCATCGAACAACTCACTCGTTCGCCTGGCCTGTGATGTCTACCTGCCCACATGCACGCAGAAGAACACAGGCACAAGCACAAGACACAGCACACACACCCATCCAGGGATGCCATCATACAACGTAGGCTCATATCATACGTCCATTACTGTGTACATGGGATGGCCCCAACCTGCTAAGGCAATATATGTGTCCGGTAAGCGAGCTGATGTGCGTGTATGTACTTTCGACGGCTCGTGTCGCCGCCAAGCTGCGACAGTCGCGGGTGAAGTGGAAAGGAAGCGTCTACGCCCAGCATTGTGTTGCCTGCCAACTCCTTCCAGAGCCCGCCTCCCCCAGCTTAGCTGAACCCCAGCCCATAACACACACCTCTACACGGGCACACACACACATACACGCACGCCCACGCGCGCGCGCGCACAAACTCCGCACGACACCCTTGCCTGGCACGGATCATACTATATAGTATTTGCTTCTCCTGACGTGCGGCGCCCCGGCCGAGGATTGTCGGGTGCTTCGTGACTGGAATGCGCCGGGGGCTGCCATCGCCAGCGTCACACCCCTGCGCGCTCCTACGCTCCCACACTCCTCCCTCCCACGCACACACATATACACGTACATATACCCATACGGACAGACACACACCACCTATCTACCGACATGCTTAGGTGGTAGGTACCCACACTTACTCCGTCGCTGGTAGAACGACAATAATAAACGTGTTCGTCGCGCCGTCGTCATGTTTCTCCCTCTCGCGCCCCGCAGCCGGATGCTGCTAGGTCTTTTTGCACGTCGACGCCGAAGCTTGGCTGCCGGCTTGGGTTCCATGGAAAGGGCAGGCAGGCAGGAGACAGAGAGAGAGGGAGAGAGAGAGAGACAGGGAGGGAGGAATTGTCACGACCCATGCTTACGTTTTACTTATGTTTGTGCCTCTCCTGTGCAACGTTTCAAGGTCCTCTCTCTTCTCCATCGCCGGCAGGCTTTCCCCCTTCGGTGGCCATGCCGTAGTTTATGGCGGCCATTGTGCGTAAGGCGACTTGCCACACTGCTATCCGATTTGATGGTCTTTCCCGGAGAAAGGAGGGCGAGATAGAGAGCTGACTCGGCGGACAATATCGCTCCTGACAGCTAGCGTGTGCGTGTGTGTGTGTGTGTGTGTGCCGTGAGAATGAGCGAGCCCAAGGTGCGAGTGCATCCGTCTGACTCACGATCGTGAATATTAATCAGAATATAATAACTCGTCTGGCGTGCCTAGGCTCCCTCCTCTTCCCTCTCTATCTCTCCATGAGTGTACTACTCCAAACATATGTACACACTTACCACCACCTCCTAGTCCGGTATGGGGTTCCCAGGGACGCGGTCCTGTGACGGGTGCTGCATTGTCATCAGATTCCGCACCAGCACCCCCCCCCCCATGTCAATAAAGCCAAAACTCGGGCTGTGGACTAGGAAAGAAGAAGATCGGCCTGGGGACCAGCCAAAACCGGACCAAGCCCGAAAAGAGCTCGCCCGCGATCCTGCACAGGCCTTCGAATAATAAAACCTCCTCCTCCTCCTCCTGGTTCCCTCCCCTCCAACTGCCCTGGATCGCGGCACGGTTGCCTGACCCGAAAATCGAATGCCAAACGAATGATTCGAGAACACCGAAGCGGAAGAGAAAAAAAAAATACAAGAGGAAACAAAACCCTGCCTCTTTTTCTCTCCCTCTCCCCCACTAACCCCAAACCTCCCAACCTACATACATATAACATACACCCATGGCACGCACGCACCCTGCCACTCCCAGCTGCTTGTTCCCACGTTAGGTATTAACCGGCGAGGTTCCCTTGCACATGACAGCATGTAGACGTATGCACAGGTAGGGGAGGGGGGAGGGAGGTTATTCGAAGGATCCCGATAGGGCTTATGTGCGTGCCATATAGGCTATGCGTCGTCGTCTTGCACACACACACGCATGCACCTATTGTAGATATTTGTATACGTGCGGGTTAGGACGTGGAGTATCACGCGCGCCGAGTATGTATCAGCGACTATGTGTGCGTATGTTACCTCTATAGGTACGCAGGCCATACCTTGGGTGCCTTACCTGCCTGCCTACCCACGCCAACGTCTGTCCCCAAGTGTGTGCACATAGGCAATGTCCACCTACATATACAGAGTAGAGGCTGCGTCGGTCGGCACATCCGCAGTTGGCCGTCACACGCGCCACCGTGACACGATCCAGCGCCCGGCTCGTTAATCGATGGTTGACGTTTCCCGCCGCTCTCTCTTTCCGTCTTTTCATTCATTCATTCCTCCCTCCCTCTTCACTATTTCATCACCAGCCCTCTCTCTCTCTGTCTCTCTGTCTCTCTGAACCCTCTAACTGTTTCGCTATCTACGTTACCCCCCGGCTCTTCCCACGCGCGGCACGTCGCGTGTGATTCGTTTCCCACGTTTCGGGGCTAATGCACTCCAGACGCGCAGACTCTTATCACATCTGGTCGCTTGCAGGTGGCCGGTACCGTCATCGCGCGCGCGCGCGCACGTAGGTGAAATCGGATCGCGGGCGTAGACATCTGTGGAGGCGCGTATGTAGGGTGACAGAGCCAGGCAGGCTGCGTGGGCGTGTGTAGGAGTGAGTGGGTTGGGTAGGAAGGAGAAGTCCCGGGAGACTTGCGTAGAGATAGACAGACAGACATATAGGCGCACCTGGACGATCGATCCCATACGCAGAGCCCTGTCGCCGAGGAGTCCTCAGATAGGCAACCACAGCGCCGAGTTGGCCCCAGAACAAGTCACGGGCGAGAGTGAGAAAGGCCAATGCGGATGTGGATGGCTATGAACGAACCTGCCGAAGACAGCGGCCGAGTCGTCGTATTCTGCCTCGTGCAGATGGACGTTTATCAGGGGATCATCGCCGTTAATATCGGGATACATCCGTTGCGCGGCGCCGATCTTACCACGGATATACTGCCACGGACGCATCGAGGAATCGCAATAAGGGATGTAGGTACGTGTGTGGTGTGTACGTGTACACATCTTCATCGACTCGCTCACCACTGTTGGTATGAGAATGCCAGGCGACGCTAGTAAGCTGACTATCCACTGACTAACCGACCAACTGGCTATGCATCGAACACGGTAGGTAGCTAGCCTAGACAGGACATCATAACAGTTCCCCCTCCCTGCGCTTCTCTGGCTACCTCCTACTATACCTACTTGCGTATGCACGACGGACGAGCAACGTAGATGGTGGGTGGTTGGAAGGGAGGGGGAGGACATCACCGTTGTCGATTCTAAAACTCTCCACCCAGCCAGTCGCTATCAAAATCGATCGTATCGATCGGATAAACTGCCTAAACCAGAAGCGAGTTTCATGAGAAAGCCTGTGGTGCTAGCGAATTTAGTGTGTTGAGCGGGTGGGTGTGTGGATGTACGCGGCCGTTCTCTTCTCTGAGTACACTTACCTACCTGGCTCTCTCTCTCTCTCTCTCTCTCTCTCTCTCTTCTCCGCCCCTGTCTGGCACGACTTGGCGCTTGGCGGTCGACTTCCTCAAATTGGGCATGGTGCCCGTGGACCCGAGGGAAAGGTACTGCCTGGGAAAAAAAAAAATTCCCACCAACATCTGACATCGCCTCACCACCTTGCCTACCGCTGCGGGAATAATACAGAGGAGGGAAAAAAGAAAAAAGAAAAGAAAAGAACACCGCAGCAAATCCAGCACCACGCCAGATCGAGAAGGTGGGAAAATAAGGTAGTGGAGGGTAAGGTAGGGGTGAGGTAGGGGTGAAGGTAGGACGAGGCAGGACGAGGTTAGGGTGAGCTAGGAAGAGAGGTAGGGTGAGGTGAGGCAGGGTAGGATGGGACAGGATGGGATAGGGCATCGAGCGGCAGATCGGTCGTTTCTTTTGACTTTTAAGCTTCACTTTGCCTGCAATCTATCTTGCTTGCTGTCGCTGCAGGTTTGGTCAGCTTGGTGCGACCCTCAGCGGCCCATTCATGGGCTCGCAGCCGGAAGAAGTGTGGCAGCCCATCTATTTCTTTTTCTTACTTTGTCTTCCCCCCTCCCCCTCCACCCTCTCACGGCGCTTGGGGCGTGATAAGCAGCAGGCTTGGTGCGTCGTTACTTGTCCATTACTCCTCTCTGCCGGTTATATTGTTGTGTGACCCCCCTCCCCCCCCTTTAGTAATACGTTATGCGAGGATGGGAGTCGTGACGCCCGGAGTCGAGAGTGAAGAAGCCAATCACCGCCACGCTGACTCCTCCTTCGACGATGGAGGGCGGGGAAGGGCGCTATGCCTCTCTTCCCCTATGCCCGGTTGCCTCACGGGGTCAGGATGAGTGCGAGATATACGTACGTCGGCAGCGCCAGTTCGTGGCGTCATCAGCTTAGCTCGGCTGTAACTCAGCTGAGTATATTTTTTTTTTTTGCGAAAGTGAAAGGGCTCTAAGCAACGAGGCTACCACGCATAACACAGGATGATATAGGTAGGCCAGCGGGGTGGCTCGCCGTGTTCCCAGTGTTCCCCCCCCCCCCCCCCCCGGCTCTGAGCCCGCTGCCCCAGGTCCCTTGAACCGATCGTGATTCGATTCCGCTCCCAGGACCGTGGTATTCGAAAGTGCTGCATGGTGAACAGAGCTCTTTCCAGCTAAAAATCCTTCCTCCAGGGAACGCTAGCAGAAGGCCCTTCCCGCCTCCTGCTTGCTGGTAGGATGTAGGGCAGACTGGCTGGGGCGGGGCGAGAGTGAGAAAAAAAAAAGCATCGTGATCACTTCCGTCGCGCGTTTTCACGCCGCCATCGTGTCACAACATGCAACCCCCCCCACGTTTGAACGTAGTAAGCTGCGCCGGCCGTCGAAAACCGACGACGGCGCCACAGCAGTGTGGTGGCGTAGTTAGCCCGTATAGCCTGAACGGGATAATAAGCAGAGGATGTTCCCCACCTTGGTATCATATCATCTCGCGCCAGAGACGATACCAACATCCTAGAAGGTCTCTTAGTGAGCATATAGCTGGCACGAACAGGCTTCCTCGCCGTGTCCATCGACTCTTCCTCAGACAAGGGAGGGGGGGCGGGGACGGTGCATTGGCGTGGAAGAGCTGAACGGGCTAGCAAGACGAGAGGACACCGCGCGTGACGGGGAGAGCAGATAATCGATGGTGCGTGACACCGTGGACGCTGCCTGTCTTCTCTTTCTGGCAAGCGAACGCGCGCTATTGGGTTCCGCCTCCATGGGCCGGGGGCCGGGAAGATATGCAGGCTTGCACTCTTGCGTGCGTGCTAATGAAGCTCACGACAGCGACAAGGAGCCCGGCGCTACGGCTCCCCCCTCCATGTGTGAGTTAGACACCTTAAACAGGTGTACTCGGCCGATATGTTTTTATCTATCACCTTATGAGTATTGTAGAATTAGCTCCGTCTGTTGGCACGGGGGATTTCTTCGGGCAGGAATCCTGGCGGGGAGAGGTAATAAGCGTCGCCTCGACTTGATTAGAGATAACCAGTCGACACGCTATGCCTTCGTGCGCGCACACGACGGAGTCGTCTTGTTACGGTTAGAAGAGCTGTAGCTTACCGGCCAGGGACCCCTTTCGTGTAGTTTCTAGTAACATACTACATCGTAGATGGCTATGTAGAGCAGACAACTACCTGCTTCATAGGCATATATGGTATGTGTATTTCGTAGTGGGATTACAACCTGCCGCGGTTTGCTCCTTTTCTGAGTGCCGCAAGCGACATTCCGGATAGAAGCGGCGATATTTCTCTCTTTTAACTGTCGTGGCTGGCTGTCTGTGTGACCATGTGTCAGGCATGTGGCGTCTGGGATTAAAAGACCGTTCGACCCTGGATCTGGCCCTAGCAAGCAGAGCAACAAGATGCGATGGCCGGGCCTGGCTCTCTCTCTCTCTTCTCTCTGTCTCTCTCTCTCTCTCTGGCGCGCGCCCCCCTCCCAGAACCCCTAACGGGTATACCGTGCCGAAGACATGTCATGTCGGTGGACTGTCAGAAGTTTGTGCAACGCCACCCTTCCTCCCCGTCACCTTTTGGTACTAACATATTATCATTATTACATGTAATGGGATCCTGCGGTGACGGATGTGCGCTCCCGTACCGCATAAGTATCCCTCTGGTCTCCCAGGCTCTGTGTGATCACCCCCCGAGTACGATGACGGGAGATTGCAACGGCGACAGCCCGCTGTGCCTCACCTCAGCGCCGTGGTAAGGTGCTCACTGCAGATTCGTAGGGCGTTTCCTGTGGTTTTGCCCACAATGCCTACATGTACTTATGTAGGCACGTGCATACGTGAAATCCCGTCGCAACCATTCATCCGAGTTCCCTGGGGTTTTTATGCAGCTTGGCGTCGCCGCCTCTGTGTACGTGCATGTCGTAGTTAGCCCGGTCTCCTTTGGAGCGTGCTGAGCGCCGTCATTGGCGCGTCGAAGATCGCAGATCCTCCTCGCGCGGGAGGTCGGGCTCTTGCTCACGTCCGCTGTGGAGATGGTGGCTCTAGTGAACGAACGACCTAGTAGACGAGGATTCGGTGGCCCTGCTAGGTAGCGGCAAAGTCTGCCCCCATTGACGCGACTTCTTCTCTCTTCTCCTCCCTTTCCCTTTCGCCCACCCGCTAAATATCCCAAGCGAGAGCCCTAGCTTGCGAGAGGAGCATTTGTTCTTCGGCCAGCGTGCCAAGTTCACGCTAACGGCCCCATGCATGTGTTGGGGAAAATTACCTACCTTCTCGCCCTTCACGAGGATCTGCGTAGGCCTCGACCATCTAACCCGCTCTAGTGGGTTCTGCTTCCTAGAGCTAAAGGGGGAGCGAGGGAGCAGCCACTAAGCCAAGGAGATATTACATATCACCTCATTCCTGAACAAGGCTGGTGGCTGAACTAGCACGCTTAAATTCATGCTTAAATGAATCAGGCCTTGGAAAGAGGATCCGGGGCGAGATTCCTCGTGGCCGCCAAGCTGCCAAGCGCGTGGCTCTCCCCCTGGAATGGCGGCAGGGATTCTGCCTCTAGTGGGCGGTTCTTATGTACGTGTGTCCTTGCGCATAAGATAATAACATACTCTAACTACGGCAAGGATAGACAAGCAAACAGCGAGCTGTTCTAACCAACATAATCGAAACTTGTTTACGGTTAGAGAGTTGAGCATGTGTGCATCCCTTGTATAACGAGTTACCGAATCGCTCCATGCGGCCTGGCTGGCGATGTTTTAGAAAGAGTGAGCCGGAACCCGAGGCATTGACGGATTTTCCACTCGTCTTCAGGATCCCACATTCATACAGCCTCTTGCTCCCGTTAGATTACATAGTAACTGGTTTAGGCACGTAAGCAGCAGCACGAAGTGACAGCCCTACGGAGACACGCACACGGGTGGCCGCTGTCCCATCTGCAATCCCGACTCACCGACACTTAAGAGTTGATCCTTTCTCATGCAGGCATAGGTACCTACATCCTTCATATCATATGCAAGGCGATAGATAGTTACATAAGTAGGGCTAACATAGGGAGGATAACATACCACCCTAGCATGGGTCGGACCCGAGAGAGAGAAAGGGCAAAGAAGCAGACCGGTGCCTGCAAGTTGTTCACAACTTGATCGTATGTTCTCGGACATAGGTAGGCAGCAGAATGACCGATTTGCTCATCGCGTATCGTTCGTGGATAGGACGTACGCCTCAGTAATGTCATGTGCTGGGCGCGCGATGCGGCTTAGAAGGATTGTCCCTCACCCCCAACCCAATCGACACCCTACGTTGGGTCCGTCCACCTCGCGAAAGGACGTGGACCGGATTCCTTCGACGGTCTCGCGTATACGAATTCTTCTAGTAGGTTGCTAGATGCGGTTGGTCCGCAATGCCAACCCGGATATTCCGCCGCCCTACGGGGCGAGGAAGGATCTCCGACAGTGTCCGAAAAACGTGAGAGAGAGAGAGAGAGAGAGAGAGGGAGAGGGAGGGAGGTCCGGGGGGCAAAATTCTATTTCTTCGGTTTCTGTACTTGCTTGCGACGTAGTAGATTTGCGTTGGCCCCATCCGTCTACCGATAGGTAGTTCCACAACCCGGAGCGTTGCGTACGTCAGAATGGAACGTAACGAAGGGACGAATAATGGATCTTCGGTGTTCATATGGCCTCATGTCGGCCTCTTTTCTATCATTATTATTTAAACGAGTGCGTGTGCTGGCAGAGTAGTCCCAATGACAGGGCTCGCTGCTGTCCCGTGTATCGCCGTGGATCGGCCCCAGGCCTCATATTGCCGGCGGCATTGGAACGGGATCTCGTTTAGGATCGTGTTTATCAGCAACGACAATGACGAAAATTAAGCGCTGTATCGAGGTAATTGCTATTTTTGGCCCATCTGACCCATCTTGACTATGTACTCACCCTGGGCTGGTCTTCTTCTTCTACCAACTGCGACCTTCTCGTCACCCTATTACACACGCACCGAGTATCCACAATCGGGGATTCGTAAGGGAGCGAGCGTATGGGCTCCTGCTTGCGGTAGCCCCTCGGTAATAGAAAAATTAAAAAAGAGTTTTAAAAATTAAAAATTAAAAAAAGCTCTCTTGGCTTTGATGGGTGGCTCCCGGTTGTAGCTATGGTTATTTCCAACATACTTCAGCCTTTCTTATCTTAAAACCCGCACCTAATATGGCCTTTGGCACGTCCCCTAACTAGCCAACACTGTAGGCTGGGGGCCGAGACGGTCTAAAACACTAGTACAGGCCCACGGCGTGAATTCGAGAGAGATCGTATCGACAATGTCCCAGACCGCAATCTACCAAACTAGTCTCCATGATCCTCCTCGGCCTAAGTAAATAATCGGTTGAGAGGAAAATTTATGGACGATCGGTCCTCCACGAAGTCATCCAACGGTGGCAAAGACCTTGTGACTGCGTAAGGGCGTGGCTGATGTCTTCCTGATCCCCCAAGTCACGATAAGACGAAACGAAAAACCATCTCACCAACGGTTCCCTCTCTCTCTCAAGTCGTACGAACTAGACTGGTTTGTTTCGGTATGGGCTAAAGAGGCAAGAAGGCCCCCCAAAACAGCCACGTTCGGCACGGGAACGGCTAGGCCAAGGCCCACAGAGAGTCCAAGGGGGGATTCTATCCAGTGAGACAAAGGACGCGGTGGTTAGACTACGGAAACACAAGAGTCTTGTGGTCCGTCTCAGGGTCTGCCGACACGATGACTCCTCCTCCTCCCCCTCCCTTCCGCGTCTTCCTACTACCGCTGCTGCTACTGCTCCCCTCTCTCGATGGCGTTGGTGCGGATTTGCGGGACTCGACGGTTTCAAGGCGCAGGTCCTCCCTGGACGGCCAGAGACTACCGCCGGTTTTAACTGGCGCGTCACGAGCACAAGGAAGGGAAAGGTAAGGTAGAATAGCCAAACCGCACGCATCGAGCTGGTCTGCGGCGCAAACACATCAGCAGGCCAAGGTTGGCATCCTGCTGGCTCGACGATGCTTAGCGAGCCGGCGTAGGTGGATGGATGGCTTTTCGCTCCCCTCCCCTCTGCTTTGCCTTTTCTTCTGTTTTCTTTTTCTTTTCCCTCCGCACGCACGCACGCACGCACGTTGCGCTGTGCTGTGCCGCGTCCAGCAAGCCAAGAGGTGGGATGGGCCAGACCCATCCGGCGCGCTTCGTTGGCCGGGCTCATAACCTACTGAGAACATCAGGAGTCGAATATACTCTTCTGGGGCGTGATGTGCCTTAGGTCGCAAGGTAGGAGGGGGGTCCGAGGTCGTTGCACTAGGGAAGAGGACTAGGCTACCGTATAAGGGGCGCAAGGAGACGTGAAGAGGGATGATCCCTCCTTCGACATTACTTTGACTTTGGCCTCTTTCGAGGGCGAACACGGAGCCGAGTAGAGATGGCTTTACAAGCATAGTGACCGCCTCTCTCGCCCCACTCCGTCCCCTTCGCCCCGGTTCTATGCATACCCATATTACACGTATGCACATGTACGTGGTGTGGAGAATGCCTATGTACATATGTATGTATCCCCAGACACGCAACGAAGCTGTTCATCACATATTGAGCGTTAGGAGTACAGCGACCGAACGATGCGGGCGTCGGCAAGCAAATAAGCGGCCAATTGCACATGCTTCTGCTCTTGCCTACGATATATATATATATGTGTGTGTATGTATATATATGATCTACCTATATCTGCCTACCCCAGGTACCTACCTAAGAGGTAGGTAGGTAGGCTGTGCCGTTCAGCTGCTTTTAGGGACCCGGGGTCCGCATGGCCTACAATTCTGAGAAGGGAATGATTTAGGGTTAAAATAGCAGGACAGCCGGAGACCTGGGAATGCGTACTTCGGTTATCGAACGTGTGCAATTCCCCAAGACTTCGGAAGGATCCCGTTGTGTGTCACTCGAGCTCGGTGGGAGCTTCGTCCAGGTTGATTGCGGCTAGTGGGAATGGATGGATGCATAGACAGATCAGGCAGACGGGCAATTCTTGTCCTTGTCCTCTTTCGCGTAAGCTTCGTCGGATTCCTGGGCAGAGGGCGACGGGATACCGAGACGCAGACCAGCCGGTTCAGACACTCTCACATCCTCGGTAAGTATGGTACGGTGCGTACATGGCCTGCCTGCCTGTCTGATGATGTACGCAGTAGGTAGCATCCGTCGCAGGTGTCTACGGGTTGTGCACCCAGCTCGCAACTACATAAGATATTACGTGGCCGGTTCGGCTCAGCAGATAGATATCCGTATGAAGCTGGAGGATGGCCGAGATCATGCCAGCACCTAGGTACGTGTAGGGAGGCACTTGAGAGGAGCTAGGTGCCTTGTGGCTATCTTCTCGCTAGGGAGATGCCCCGGTAGGAGGTAAGAGGTAGCTTATTTACGACGCCCCACGCGCGCGTGCATTGGTGGTGCATGCATCGGTGGCAGAGCGATATATGTACGTACATATATACGGGTTTCCTTGACATGCCTATCCATATATGGGTATGCGTCGATGCATTGTATTCCGTATGAATGGAGATTAGGTAGGTCGGGCACCTGGTAGGTAAGCTTAAGGGCCAAGACGTGGCGTTGGCTTCCGCCGAGCCTGCCTACTATGCGCATATACATCGGGTATGCGCCTGGAGACCTTTACTAGGTACCTCCTAAGGTCATAAGGGTCGGGGGCTTCCATAAGATCGGTACTCGCATCTACCTCGCTACGTACCTCTGCTGCGTAGTATGAGTAGTAATTACCTAGTACCCCAGGTAGGCTGCTTGGCAGTGGATGGTAGCTGATGCCCCGGCAGAACCTAGTCATGGTCAGGGCCTATACGAAGTACCTAACGTGCGAGGCGCCTCAGCGCCCGTGTCCACCAACGCTGCCTGGGGCGACTCAGAACAGGAGGTACCGACAAAGCAAATGAAAATAAGCTTGAATTTATTAGGAAGCTTAATTCCCACTGCTATTAGGTACTCGCTACAACCTCCATTAGGTACTGGCCTACATGCCGCGACAGCCACAGTTTAATACCCGGATAGCGCATGACTTTCGCTGGCACGTTAAGTCTCTAGGCGAGTACCCAGGTAAGTACGTACCCAGGTCTGTAGCGCCGTAGGGTAGGTACCTCCGGTACCATTACCCATCGTTACCTGCCTATATATATTCCTGGTTAGTATTTGTAGGTAATATCCGGCTCCTCGCAGCACTTGCTTGCCCCCTCGCCCTCTTGCGCTTTCCCTCGCCTCCAAAGCCCTAATGCCGTCCTCATAATGTAAATGACTATATGTGTGTACATATATATACCATATCCGTACTCCTTAGGTACCTGCCCCGAGGCTGACCGGGCTCGGTACCTTAGGTGTCCACCCAAGTACCGCATTGCTTACCCTAGGTACCTCCTTAGGTACCCTATCGAGGCGGACACTTACTCATACACCGTTCTGTTCTGCTGTGTGCGTCCACCTAAGCTAAGCTAAATACCCTAGTACTAAGCCTGCCCACCCTGCCCGCACGCACATCCGTCCACTTTATCCTTGACAGCACACCTCCACCTATCTCTCGATCAACCTCTCTCGGCTTCGCAATCTCGCAACCAACCTGCTTGTCCGACGTCCCTCCCTCCCTCTGCCCTTTCTGCCCTCTCTGCCTCCGCATCGGGTAGTAGAGACATACGTTGGTTAATTGCGCATCCAGTAATCCGACCCTGTTTCATCATCTCGCCACTACCGGCCGTCCATCGATCTGACCCGAAGGCTGAATATCTCCCTGCAGCCACAACGCGTGGGATAAGACTACAACATATAGATTGGTATTCCTAGCGGGGAATCCAGACCCCACGAACCCAGCTAGCGTATCCTGTCTGCCCTTCCCTGACATCCAGGATCAAAAGCTGGAGGCGACTGGATGAACACAATCTCCTGCCCAGTCTAGAGTCAGTGGTGATCAGTCAGCCCGACGCGAAGGCGAGCAGGAAGAGAAGAGAGGAAAGCAATACACACCTCTAAGAGAAATCGTGAACTATTATCCCTCGGCATTCGTCACAAAACCCCGGCGAGGGTTAAAAAAAAAACCGGGAACCTGATCCACCCCGACCCCAAGGCCGTCGGTCGTTTTCCCAAGGCCTTTTCTTCCTCTTTTCGCAGCCAGGGTCTCTCGCCGGCACTACACACACACACACACACACACACACACACACACACGTGTCCAACCAAGCTTTAATACCTCTTGTCATTTCCCTGGTCAGCTCCACGAAGGAGTGGAAGAGGCTCCAGAAGAGACAGCTTACGCCTATGCACCCAACGTAACTTATACCTACGTATACATACACCCGGCTACATCCAACATAATCTGCCTTTCACTGCGCACCTAGCCATACATCTACATCTAGCATATGGTATGTAGGTAGATACCTTACTTATATTACATATATATCTACCTGCCTATGTACTATACACACCCCCCTCTCCCTTCCCCTTCCTGCTTCCGCTCCCGCATCTATCTCTATCCGTACAGACGGACGACAGAGAGAGAAGCTAGGCCATCATCTCTGCCAACGCCTACGCCAACACTTACCTCCGTCCTATCCTTGTCTACACCAAGGTTACTATAGTCGTGCGCCCGCCAAAGGTACGACCCCACTGCTGCCATCACCATCCGCCTATCGCTACAGATCGAGTAGTAGTACACTGGTGCTATTGCTGACGCTACCGAACTGCGCTCTTTCGACCCTTCTCAGCAATTACTGACTCGAGCCTGCCCATTAGTGATCCGCCACCCACATCACCACCAGCTCAACAAGCTCGAGACAGAGAGAGTGAAAGAGAGAGGGAGAGGGGCTCCCTCGTATCTCGAGCGCACGGCCGACCTGAACTTAACTGGAGGTAAGCCTAGTTCGGCGTCCCGGCAACTGAGCGCTGTGTTTTAAATTATCTAGACCGTTCTTGTTTTCTATTCCGTGCAACTGAAGGTTGGAGAGAAATATGAATAAAACCTAAACTTGGCGGGGCGCGGCATCTCGTCTTCTTTCTTACTTGGTTCGAAGCGCCCCGTCCCTACTTGCGCGGTCTAGGTTACCGGTAGTCTAAACTGCCATCAACCTTTTCTCTTACTCCCAGGCTTTTTGGGTTGTTTTTCATTTGAATCACATACATAACTGTGGCTCGGTGCCTGCTTTTTTCTTATTTTATTCTGGTTATTGTTTCCTTTTCCCTCACTCGCTGAATCTGTCGGTTGCGATAAACCCCTCTCTGACCTTGCCCAACTATCGAGAAGCAAGCAATACTACCCCCCATACGACCTACCGCATCGCAACCGTATCGATCACATCGACGGCCGCTACGTCCATCCCACATCCCGAGACGCCGTGTCGGGAAATTTCAATCGCCTAGTTGGGCACTGGTGGGTTGGTCCGAACGCCGCCGAAAACAGAAACAAGAATTGAAACGAGATATTCTAAGCGATTCCCTTTCGCATCCTCGACTTCGTCTCGAAGATTCTCTTTATTTGCCTCGCCATCGCCTTCGACTTCGCCCGGGATTGGGAACTATTTAAGCCTGTATCTAAGGCCTATGTGGTTTTATCTTCTCGGATGCTAGTCGTTCTGGGACTAGCCAGCAGACCTCAGGTTTCTCCCCAATCTTGGCCATAAGGCGACCACAAATTAACCCGCTATATTCGCATCGGTATGTCTTGAACACCCCTCACCACCACCACGACCTGCTTCGCCCAACTTGTGCCTACCCCCCCAGTGAGTCGGGAAGGCTGGCCCCCGTCCGTTGAAATCCCGTCGATCTCCCCGCACACCTCTCTGTCTCCCTCTCTCTCGGGCTCTCCATACGTTGCCGATTAAACCCATCGGATTTTGAAATCAATGTCGTGAACACCGGAGTCCAGTCTAGACTCTTCACTCTCTCCCCCTGCTCTCTCCTCCCTCGCTCTCTCTATAGTATGAGTTTTGATTTGCATCTTATGCGCCTTGCTGCCCTCTACGTGGATATTGGCCTAGCTCGCGATGAATTGTTGCCCTGCATCTCTCGGCTTCGGTAGAGTGTGCAGGGTCGGTCTCGCAAGCTATCCCTTCTTGAATCCCGAGAGGGCCGTGCTGGCGAGGAGAGCCTGCCTCGGGCTTGGCAAGGACCAAGATGACGGGTGCGATTGGGACGCACCGGTTAAGTCACCGCGTGAGCAAGCTTGATGACCAGAAGTTGTTCTGCAGCGTCTACGTGGTTGGCTGGTCGTGTGTATGTGTGCGTCGGGATACAATCTGCCAAGTATCAGGTTCAAACAAATCTCTATACCCTTGCACGTCTCACAAGCCCATACGAAATCAGATCCGCCCTTTTGGGGGATTGACGGGTATACATATACATACATACCCATGCGCGCCGCTCTCCCATATTTATTTCCCATATTTATTTATACGGGCAACCCTCGAGTCGTTCCCAACCAGGCTAAAGACTGGCTGGCTCGGGTGCTTCGATCGAAAAGAGCTAACAATGAAACCCGGCAGGGGATCCACGAGTCTGGGCACCTCGGCTGCAATTCCGTAACGTCTGGACCATTAATAGTCTAAAGGCGCCAACTATCGACTCGAGCTGCCCGCAATTCAGAAACGCCAAGTCAGCACGCTCATTCTCACTTCAGCTGCCAACGACCAGGGTCAATTCTAACCACGCCAGCTTTTATCCCGTTACCCACCCGAGCAGGTCCATATCCACTCCACCTTCTGGACGACCCACCGCTGTAGTCGAACTGTGGACCCGATATGGTGGGAGGGTAGGACTACAAGACCTAATTATCTGGCAAGAAATTAAGGATCTGTCCAGGATCGTCTTTTCGGCTCTTTTTATCTTCCTCGACTCCGACTTATTATTAACCTACCACATCGTCATCGCCAACATCAACCTCAACCACCGTCACCGTCACCTAGTACCATCCCAATCTTTTTTTTTTTCTCTTCACTTATATTTTCCCTCGTGCCTATCCTGCCACCCAACCGTCTCTCCGGCTTACGCACACCACCTTCCAAGCGTAGCGAGCGGAGCGGTAGCAAGATGGAAACCTACCACGGGTACGTGCGGACACCCGCAGACGCCATCAAATTATTCGAGGCCTGCCGGCTAGGGTTGCTACCTCGAGTCCAGAGGCGGCTCTCGGAGAAGGAGAGGCAGTCTATCAGATCCGGCTCGGTTTTCGTATGGGATGAGAGGGAGGCCGGTATGCGTCGGTGGACCGATGGGAAATCATGGAGCGCCAGTCGAGTTTCGGGCAGCTTCCTCACATACAGAGAGATGGAGGGCAAGCGAGGGACCGGATTCGGCGGCGCGCGACGAAGTAACGGCAGGACGCCCGACAGCGGCCGATTAAGCGACGAAGACCCGGACGGCGAGCCCGAGGGATATAGGTATAAGGCGGACGGCTTGATGAAGCAGTCTTTCAGCATAACCACGTCGCAGGGCCAGCACCTTCACCTGATCTCGTACTATTCCAGACCTCACGCCGGAGCTCCCGATCTGCCTCAACCGAGCACAGATCCCCAGCTCCGTCATATAGTACCCCTCAAAGGCATGTACCCAGAATCGAGCCTACACGATACCACCCCGCCCGCCATGACGAGGACGCCCATGCAGCCGTATGCGAGCCACACCACGCCCATCGATCAGCCAGGCTACGGTTACTCGTGGGGAGGGCCGTGGCAAAATCAGGGCCAGTGGCCACCCTCGCCCAACCACACGCCTCCTTGGGGCCAAGGGAAGCTCACGCCGGAAATGAAGCCGCAGCCTCGACCTCAGGTTCACCACCCCGTGCAGCGGCCGCCTCAGCTCCCTCACCAACTTCCTCAACTTCCACCACAGCTTCCGCCGCCACTGGCTGCAGCGCCACCGAACCAACCCATCTACCCCAAGGCCCTCGGCAATGGATACGAGAATGAGCGACTGCCTCCACCGACTCTAACCATGCCGTACTCGCTTCCTCCGCGTGCGCCGAGCCTATCCCCGCAATCGCGCCAGCTTCAGATCCAGGCTGCTAAAGCGGCGCAAGTCGCTCAAGCCGCGCAGCCTATGCCGCCTGCCATCGACCCCCGCCTAACTGCGACGAGCGCGCGCAACCCCCAAGGACCGCTCCCCGCGATGCCGACGGCCCCGCGGGGCGGCTTGACGCCGCCTAGGATGCATTCTGTGTCACCACCACGAACGATGGGCCCGGATGCAGTTATTGGCAGCGCGAACAAGGCCAGCCTGTCAGCGCTGCTGAACAGGACGCCGGCGAGCTCGGAGCCAAACAGCGCAAACCCGGGGAGCAACAGTGCTGGTAGCTCGCCAAGGGCACTGTCCAACTCGGTGGCGGGCCCCGCAGGTGGTACCGACATGTTTCGAGGAGAAGATACCAGGGCTCTCCGATCCCTGGATCGCAAATTTTGCAGCTGAGAGCCGAGAGGAATGATGGACACGGCATTGTTCGGGCGTTCAAAATAAAATTGCATGGCCTGGGGGTGGTCTCAATTTCCACCCCTCCTGATGCGGCACTCTTCACCGCACATTTTCCTGCTACGTACCGGGTGCGCATTCTGAGCGATACGGAGTTACGGGGTTTTTTTTTTTTTTTTTTTTTTTTCAAAAACGGGTTTTGGTTTTCACGACAGTCATGTGTGAGAGGATCGACGCAGGTGCGCGCAAGGGAAAGATACGGGCGAGGATCGGTGCGGAAACCCCGGAAGTATTGTTTTATTACTCTTCATGTAAATAGCTTATTAGCATAAAGGAGACTTACAGTAGCCCTCGTGGGCGGGACTGTCCCGATAGCCTCGGGGCACAAGGGGGGAGGAAAAAGCTGCGATACCAGTAAGGAAGGGACAGAGAGGGCGCGGCGTGTCAGTTTGATACCTTCACAAGCACGGCATCCTTATGCTCAATAATAGAGAGACCGAGAGAGAGGAGAGACGATATCGATTTACCACACTCGACCTGCGAGCTTGAACTACCTGACCCCCTTAGTAGAGGCAAGAATGAATGGTGCGAAACAAGCGAAAATGCAGTATGGATGTTGCCTAAAATGTCCACTAGAGCCATCCATGGCGGTTAGTACTCTCCCATTGATATTTTCCGATCTCGTCAAGTTGTTTAGCAACGAATCTCGACTAGCGGAGGGAAGCATGATGACGAGGCTAAGGGGGTTTTACGGGTTACCACCCCTTGCGGCTCGCCCCCCTGGACGGCCTCTGCCCCCTCCACTTGCTCCCCCTTGCTCTCCCAGGCCTGATCCGCATGATTAACCATGCGATTGCACGTCAAACACGACGGGTCCCTGTAACGCATCCCGTCTATTCTTGCCTGCCGTCGGCCGCTCCCCCATGTCGCCCTCCCCTGTAGGTTATAGGCGCATAGGGGGAGGGCAGAGGCAGGTTAGGTAGGTAAGGTGTGTTCGTTGTTGGGAATCCCAAACTCGAGCCAGACCCGCCCGTCTGGGGGACGTGCGGGCACACACACGCTACGAAGCCCGAGGGGGGAGAGTATAGACGCCACTACCTAAAGCCTACCCAGATGCTGTACGCGCGTTGCGTGCGTGCTTGGTTTATGTGCGGGTGTGTCTATGCGAGGACGTGTTAGTATGCTATGTAGTGTTATTTGTATGCGTGCGTGCGTGGCGGATTGCCACGTACGTACATACAACAACTCATAAGACCTCAGGTTTGCAATATTTATAACGCGGAGATTCACACCAACACACAGACACAGACACAGACACAGACACAGACGCACGCACGCAATGCGGCGAGAGTGCTCAAGCATTGGTTCAAATGGTTCCGTGTATGCACACGCACACATGTGTGTGTGAGTATTTTTCGCATGCGTGCGCGTACGTGCAGGGAGTTGGCCTGGAGGGCCAGCAGCGAGATACCGGCACCTACTATATGCGCATAGGCATGTCTTATACAGGTAAGGCAGGTAAGTAGTCAGGGTAGGTAAGTTGGTTTCCAGCCCCTGTCACGGTCGTCGTCACGCCTGCGAGGTTCCAGCAAATTGGCACCAATCTTTCGACGTCTATATACAACCTCCACGCACCCTGTCCTGTCCCAGGAGAGTAGCCGGAGAGGGAGAGAGGAACTTGGTACCGAGATGGACTTGTTCTAGTGGCCACCGCCCGCCGAAGCTGCTCCGCCAACTGGACGTTCCACGTAGGGCGAGCACATGCACGTGCGCACATGAGGGAGCGAAAGCAACCAGTAGCCCTACACGGGGTTATTACCATAGTTGGCAATGTCATTATCAGTAGTATCAGATTCCTGCCGACCAGGACGCAGAGGCGTTTGTATACGTAGGTGTATGATACCTATGAAGGAAAATAGTCTACTACCGTACCCAAGTAACTAGAACTCGCTGGGCAATACTGGCAGAAGAGCCAGGGAAAAGGGGAGAGAAGAAAATAATGGTGTAGAACACAGGTATATTAGGTAGGTACTCTAGACGCCTCTGTGTACGTCATGCGACGCGTGAGCATAATCGGACAGCAATAGGAATTAGAAATTGGTTATGGTATAGGTGGCGTCTGTCTACCAGGCCAACGCAGACTCGGTGGCGGCAATAATCGTGACGATGACGATAGCAGTAATATCACAACCCCTATAGCAGTACCATGGCACGTTCGTGGGCCGATACTCGTGCAGTCGTTGTACGATGCTTATCTCTCTCTAGCGCACAGCGACGGGTGCGCGGCGCCGAGAACCAGCGACGAAATGAGAGAGGAGGATGCGGCGAGCAGCAAACAAGCCTTACGGCAGAAGCACGGCGCACATGGACCCCGGGCGTCGAGGCGAAGGAGAAGTCCGGGAAGGACTCCTGGAGAGAAGAGGCCTAGAAACGAATTAAAATGTGTAGGTAAATGAGAAACGAAATTGCACGGTATAGAAGTGTCCACAAAGGACCAAACCTGTTCAAACAGACCAGAGGCGGGCCCGAGGGTAAGATGAGGAATGGTCAAGCGCGACAAGGCAAGATGATGCGAGAGAGAGAGAGGGAGGAAGGGTAGAGAGAGAGAGAAAAAGAAAGAGAGGGCGAGGGGAGAAGGGGAGATGGGAGAAACAAGAGATGGGCGATGGGGCGGGTTTAACCCAACTACCGTTTGTTCGTTTGTTTCACTTTGTTCTCTGGCCGTTCCACGGGTTGGCTCGGTACCAAGGAAGAAGCCAACACTCTGGCGGGCGCAGACGCGTACCACGTGTAGCAGTACTCTCTTTCTCTGTCGGCCTGGGGTTTCTCCTCCCTCCCTCCCTCCCCGGCCGCTCTCCCCCGGCTGCCCCCCACAGTCGAGACAAGACCCAAAACTTCGTTCCCTCTTCTCTCTCTCTCGGTCGGTCGCTCGCCAGGGCGATCACGAAGCCATCGGACATGCGATGTGGGGCGCGAGACCCAGCTCTTCATTCATTCTGGGGACCAGGGGGGGGGGGGGTCGAAGTCGAGCATCCGTTTCCAGGCATTGCACCCGCAACCAGGTCCCTAACAGACCCAACTCCCTAACGCCCTAACAATGCGTACGTAATTTCTCGCCATATCCAGCAGAAGGCAGGCTGGTTTCTAACCGCTACCGTCGTGAGGCCGTTTCCGCACCCCGGCAAGCGCGCGTAGGCGCACCTGGCGGCATGGCCGGCTCGGAGAGACAGCTGCAGCAGCGCGACAAGAAGCGGCGGGAAATAAAAAGCCCGACCGGGTCGGCGAGATGGTGCGAGATCTCGTCGCGCCAGCCACAATATGCGGGTAAGAGATGGGATACCTATAGTGTAATGCCTACCAGAGCTGCCTTGGCGGGCGGTGGGTTTCCGCGCACAGCACACCTTATCTCAGGTTAAGGTTAATCGACCGCGACTTGGCTGGGTACACGGTGTGCGACGTGTGCGTATAATATTGTCGACACCCCGGCCGTCGTACTATGGCAAGCGAGCGGTCCCACGGCTTTCGTCTTCTGCTTATTCGGCTCTTCTGACAGTTGCCATCCCAACCTTGCCTCATGTGTGTCCGCGTGCGCATCTATATTAATACCCGCCCACCTACCCAGGTACCTGTATCCCTACCTCTCTCCTGTGCCGCGTGCGACTGCGCACGTCGGGGTGCGTGCCTATTACGGACATATATTCATAAGTGTACCTGCGCCGATAGAGAGACCGACGGGCAAGATACAGGTAAGTAGTATTGTACGTACGGCTGATCGCCTGCTGGGCGCCACCTATCGGGCGTGGTGGTCGTGGTGCGAGACCCCGGGCAGGCCGTAGTTATTGCCCAAACCAGGGGCCCCCCCCCCCGGTCCGCCGTCGTCGTCTGTGTCTACTCAATACGCACTCAACGCGAGGCGATTCCCCGGCGATCATCAGGCAACACGCAAAAGGACAACCACGTACAGTACAGTACAGAACCGCAGAGTTGCGCGTACCGGTCGATCCCACCCAATCCCAGCCCGACCCAGCCGGGCCTCACACCCCCTTAACTTTAAAACTTAAATTGGCCCGCGGGCGCGAGCCGCCAAGCCCTTCCAACGCTTCGACGCCCCGTTCCAACACCCGCTGCGCCCATGTCTTGCGTTGTTTCGGCCAGATTTTCTCGTCTCTCTCTCCCCTTCGCGCGCCAGGTTCGTCCGGCGCTGCCAATTTCGAACTCCCCCTCACTAGCCGAGTTCGACCCGAGGGCCCGCGGCGCGGTCGAATGAGCTCGACGCCGATCCTACTCTTACCAGTTGCCCACGCGCCCAGACGTAATATGCACACGCCCGTCCGCGCGCACACGTGTACTCGTACTCATAGCATGTAGCATGGCGTGAACGGTAAAGTGGAAGCTAGGCAGCCCTGCCAGCCCAGATACGGATACGTAGGGGTGGGTCAAGGCGTCAGTAGGGAGTTGAGATGGCGATGGTGGAAGAAAAAAAAAAAAAAAAGAGAAAAAGGACCAGGGCACGACGTGCGATTAAGGTGGCCCAGAAAGCTGCATCCACTTAGAGTAGAGAGCACCCACACCGACGTCGGTCGTATCTACATATATGTTCCTATCAGGTAGCTGTTGCGTATGTGCCTATGCTATGTATGTGCATAGGTCGGGTACCTGAGGTACCTATACATACCTACCTCTGCTAACCGACGCTGCCTCCACTGAGCACGCTACGTGCGAACCTGTGCTCGGTCGCCCAAATCGTCAGCGCGGCATTTGAGCCCTGCTTCGGAGAGGCCCTGGGGCCAGTATCGGTACTATCCATTCTGCCATCCGCCGTCCATTCCGCGGCCTCCCTGCGTCGCCCAGATATATTTACTCATCGACACTCCACGTCACCTCCCACATGCCACCCCCTGCCCGCACAGTAGAAAACGAGCCGGGATGTTTGGCCGCCCGCTGACGATCGAAGCGCCGACGGTGTTTCGTGCTAGAGACGCTACGTACCTACTTATATA